CACACACACGCACGCACGCGCACGCACTCGCACACGCATACACACGCACGCACGCGCACGCACTCGCACACGCACTCGCACACGCACGCACGCACTCGCTCGCGCACGCACGCACGCAAACACGCACGCACTTGCTCGCACGCACGCTCGCGCAGAACTCGTCCACTCCTCGCTTCGTCTCTCGCGCAGTGCTCGCATTCGGCGGCGAGCGTCGCGTTGGACGCCGGGAGCGGAGGGAGGAGACGCAGGGAGCCGCGCCGAGGCCGTTGCCATTGTGCCGCTCGTTCATTCTCTCGACAGAAAAACAAAACCCTCGACTGAATCGGGGCGGGCGCTCGGCATCGGCGACGCCACGGCAACTGCCGCGGTCGCAAACACGACCGCCGCTTACCTCCCCGGGAGGCCATGGCTGTCGGCCGGGACGCGGCGCGAGGCTTCGCGGGCGAGCGGGCGGATGGGCAACGCGATCTGAGAGCAGCGACCACGGGGTAGTCCCGCGCAGGCGGAGCGAGCGTCACCCAGCGGCCCCCACCGCGATCCCTCCGCCCACCACATCCCCACCGCGCGAGCGAGGGGAGCACCACCGCCGCCACCACCACCACCGCCGCCACGGCCGCACTCCAATCGCACGAGAGAGCTGAGACCGCGTCGCTTCTCCCTCCCTCCCTCCCTGCCCCCGCCCCCCCAACCCTAATCTGGAGGGAGAGGCGCCGTGCGTGCGTGGGAGGGAAGTGTTCAGCTCCGGGGAGCACCTGCTGAAGGCTCCCGAGCCAGCCATGCAATTCGATGGATCTCCATACGGGGGTCACGTGAGTCTGGGTCCCTGCATATGTCCCTTTCTGGGTCTATGAGTGTAGACTACATGAGTTTATGAGTCTCTATAAATTTAGAGTTTATTGCTCCCGATGTGAAAATATGGGTCCCTATGACAGTATGGGTCTCCATACGAGACGTCTACAATTCGGGGCTTCGCGGAGGAGAGGGGTGCGTGGGTGCAAGCGATGAAAGCGAGCCCAGCGGGTCGCCCCGCTCTCCACGTCACGAACGGCAAAAAGCGGATTTCAAACGCGCGCCTCTGACGGCCGCCACGCCGCAGATGAAAGCGCACGGAGGAGACGCGACACCGGCACGGGAACGACACCAAGCGGCACGCGCGGCCCCGCGGCGCAGAGGCCGGAGGGCGCTCCGCTCAGCCACCTCTGCTGCCCCCGCCGTCTGGAATTACCTTCCACCAGCCACCCGTGCTGCGTGCAAGGCTCAAGACCTTCCTCACCTCCTCTGCCTGTGACTGACCACCTCTCCCTCCCTCTCTCTCTCTAAAAGATAACCATGCCTACCCGCGCCAAGTACAGCAATGAAGCAGAGAGAAATGTGATTGCAAGAGATGGCAGAGTTGGCTTGGGGAGGAGGCCTTCATCCAGCAGTGGATTGGCCACGGTTGATGACGACGATGCGGAACGGTGCCAGCCCCCTCCGCACGAGGAGCGGTGATGATGGCAGAGCCAGATCAGCCTCCAGTGCTCATTTAAATATCCACACTTTCATTACAAAATGTCACCGGAGCCGTAATTGAGAATGTCAATCATGAACATCGTACTCTGTGCGGCAATAGCGCCACCGCACTGGCAATACGAAGACATTACCTTTCCTAGCCTCCTCACAGCAACGTGCCACGTATTTCTCCACATCAGCGTACACACATTAAGACAATGATCCCCCCACCTAGCCATTGCCAGACTGTTCGGGCATGTGCTGTTAGCGAGCACCTATTAAGGCTGCCACGGCACACGAGGGGGTGGGACGCCTCTGTCTCCCCAGTGGCGATGTTCACACACCGTACGCGCGAGTGTGCGTGAGTGTGTCTGTGAGTGTGTCTGTGTGTGTGTCTGCGAGTGTGTGTGTTGTGGGGAGTGGTAGTGTAGCGGTTAGCGCGATGCTACGCTACGAACCCGGCGACACAATTTCAATTCCCGCTCACGACCAACACCGGCGACAATTATCTGAACCGGTCCTGGGCCTCCCCTCGGTCGACTCGGCCTAAAATGAGTACCCGGTGCGGTGTGTGACCATCGCTACTGGGGAGACAAAGGCAGCCAGGTGTGGTGCTGGCCACCCACCCCCTCGTGTGCCGTGCCGCGCTTTATAGGTGATGGCTAACAGCACTTTCCCCAAGAGGCTGTTAAGGCTATACCGGGGATCTTTTGCTGCATCTTTATTTGGGGCCAGAAGCGCAGTGGTTAGTGCACTGCACCGGTTCGATTCTCACTTACGGCCAAGATCCGAACCAGTCTAGCGCATACCCGAGGTCAACTCAGCCTTAAATGAGAAGCCGGTGTGCTGTGGAAACACCGGCATTGGGAAGACAAAGTCGGCTTAGCGTGTGTCGTGCTGGCCTTAGTAGGTGCTCACAACAGCACGTGCCCTATCAGTCTGTTAAAAGCGAGATGGGGGGATCTTTGTTCTGGCAGTGTGGGCATTGACCGCGTGTGTGAACAGGCGTCATCACGGTGGTGTGGGTTGTGTCTCCGTGCCGGGCTGGCAAGACTCGGCTGCGCATCCCAATGAGCCCATTAGCCGAGTAATTAATGCCGATGCCGCGCAGTCGTACGGATGGACGGAGCGAGTGCCCGGGCGGACGCACGTGCGGCGGTGGCGAGCACGGCTCGCCGGTTCCTGCTGGCGCGAGCACCCCGCGACAGAACCGGCCGCGCCGTGCCACGCCGTGCTCCGACCGGCACATCCATCCACCTCCACGTCGCACCGGAAACAAACGTCACCGACACCCGACGGCCTGCCAGGTCTCGCCGGCACGGTCCGCACCACGCCACGTCCGGATGCACCGCGGCGGCACGCCGCACCGGTCCGGACCGAACCGTACCGCGCCACGGACAGCCACGTCGCTGGCGCCGCCGAACCGAGTGACGGCGCCGAGCTGGCCGACATCGTGACCGCCCCTCGCGGAGACATCCCCACCGCGATCGCCACGAACGCTCGCAATCGGCGTGATGCACGGCGTGTCCCTGGCTATGCTCTGGAGACCATCGCCATCGTCGTCGCTCCCAGCATCGTCGTCGTCGTCGTGGTGACTGTCATCTATTCGCACCCACTGCGTGGCGGGCTCTGCGGGGGTTCGAGTGACGGCTGCCGGCTGTGTACCGCACCGCACCCCCCCCCACCTCCGGCTGTGTACCGCACCGCACCCCCCCACCCCCCGCTGAGTTTTTCAAATTATTATTGAGCTCAAAGCTGAACGGCTGCCACACCACACACGCACACACCACACACACACCACACACGCACACACGCACACACCACACACGCACACTACAAGCACACACACTAAAGACACGCAAACACCACACGCATGCACACACCACACACGCACACTACACAAACGCGTACGGTACAAGCATCCCCCGTATCGGCTTAACAGCCTGTTGGGGCAAGTGCTGTCAGTGACCACCTATGAAGGCCGACATGGCGCACAAGGGGTTAGGTGGCCAGAACCACGCTCGGCCGCCTTTGTATCCCTAGTTGCAATGTTTACACACCGCACCAGGTACTCATTTGAGGATGAGTCTACCAAGGGGAGGTGCAGGACTAGTTTAGATAATCGTCAACTGGCGTTGCCCGTGAGTGGAAATCAAACTCGGGTCGCTGGGTTCGTAATGCAGCGTAGCGCTAACCGTGACTACCCCCCTCCCCCCACACAATAACACACGCCCGTCGAGAGACGAATGAGAGTTTGACACAACACACGACCAACACGAGGAGGAACGCACATGTGAGCGTAAAACCATACCCCACACGCACGCACAACGGAAGGGTACGTGTGTGCATGCGTGTATATGTGCGCGTTTGTTCATGGACGGGGAGCGATGGTGCAGTGGTTACCGCGCTGCGCCACGAACCCGGCCACCGATCCCCTCGTGTGTCCTGCCGGCCTTCATAGGTGCTACCCGCTAACAGCACTTGCCCCAACAGTCTGTTAAGGCGGTAACGGGGCCCTTTGTCTCGTGTGTTAAAGACCTCAATGTCACATCAGCTCCTGACACATCAGTCGCTACCACTACATCAAGCACTGACACATCAGCCCCTGACACATCAAGCACTTAAACATCAAGCACCGACACATCAGCCCCTGACACATCAAGCACCGACACATCAGCCCACACACGGAAGCGAAGACACCGCAGCGCCTTGGCACAGGAGCTTCTGAGCCAGCTGTCCTCCCACGCTCACAGGAACAGTGACCCAATTGTGCGTTCTAAAAGAGCCCAATTTGCGATATTAATAACAGGTGATCGTTACAATCAGTGAGGTCCCCCATCCCACATGGCTCCACCGCGGCCTGACAGCGCGTCCTTGGTGGGGGCTGGGGGGCCTCTCACAGCCTCCCACATCACACAAGCCCCCCCCCCCCCCCCCACGACTCTGGGTAAATCGTTCTGGAGTGGCAGCTTGTCACTTAGGCTGGGATTGGCCCCCCCTTCATACCCACGTCTCCTTCCTATGACCCCCCACATTCACCCCCACGTTCACCCCCACCCCCCGGCCCTCCACACATCCTGCCGCTCCGCTCCCGTCGCCCACGATCACCATCAGTGGCGTCTGGCAGTGCCGTGCTGCTGGAACACCCCTGTATCCCAGGGGCTTCTACCCCGACCCCCATTGCCACCCACCCTCCCTAACCCTACCCCCCACCCCTACCTCCATCTGTCCTTCCTCGGCCACGTCACAACACGCGCCGCCGCTGCCGCCGTATCGGCTCACGCCGGACACGAACGGTGGCGTGCACGTCGGCGGTGGTGCGCTGGTGCTGCCGTGCGTCGAGTGGGGGGGTTTAACAATGCGCATTACCGACAGTTGCGAATGAAGAACGCGCGTCAATGTTTGAAAACAAAGGCATTGCACGTCGCACCACATAACCACACATCTCGCAGCCGAATAGCGCGAGCCAGGGAGTCAGCAAGCCAGCGAGCGAGCGAGCGAGTCCTTACCTTCCCAAAGTCCTCCGACGTCGCCCTCATCTCCTTCCAAGTCTTGTTGAGCAACTGGATGCAGACGCAGAACATCTCCTCCATGGCGCGATCGTGCGTGAAGAACATGGGACAGAAGTCCTGGCCGGTCTCCGTGGCTGCCGCGCACAAACACACGGAGCTCGTTACGGGGATGGGCGCCGTGGTGGACACGCACCGAGAGCCACGGAGCCTTCGACTCGAGGACGACTCGAGGACGACTCGAGGACGACTCGAGGAGTCAAACGGCGGCGGGTGCCGCCCACACGCGGCCCGGGCGGCCCGGCGGCACCGGACTCGTGCAGCGTGCGCCGCGTGACGAGCGGGAGGGGACCCGCAGCCGGCGCGACGGAGAAGCGGCTCCACCGCAGCAGCTTCACGGGCAGCAGGGCGGCCGCCGCTGGCATCGTGGGGGGGGGGGGGGGGGGGGCGGCCATTCTTCATCTTCCCTGTGACGGGGACAGCTGGCGGTGGGGAAGGCCGGCGCGATACGTTCCAAGGCCTGGGACTCGTGGCCACGTCGCACTTGGGGTCACGTCCCTCATCGTCCACCCAATTGCTTTGTCTGAGAGTTTGCGAATGGCAGATGCGCCCCCCTTAATGTTCACGGTTCGGGCGGCGCAAAGTTGCGTGGTCGCAGCACGGCGCGGCGGCCGTGTTTTGCCATCGACGGCGGCGACCGCAGGAGGGGGACTTGTCAACGAGCTTGGCCGCTGCGGCCCGCCTGACCGTGGGCCCCCTCCGGCCACGCACGAACGTCGTCGGTACGACAACGAAGGACAGCGCTCCTCCCCGAACCGTCCGGGCGCCCTCGACCAACCCCCCCCACCCCACCGTACACGGATGAGCGCTCAATTCATCGTGCGTGCCGCGGGCTCCGTGGCCACGCGGCGGCCGCCACGAGCCGACTCGAGCCGAGCGAGCGGCACGCACACCCCCCGCTGGACCCCGGAGAGGTCGGCTGGCCGGAGGGGCAAGCGGTGACGTCGCTCGTGCGGTGCGCAGAGGTCGGGCAACGGTGCTGAGCCATGTTGACAGAACACCACACACACCGCATACCACCACAAGCAACCACACAACACACTGCACAACCACAGACACCGCCACACACACACCACCCACCACCAAACACACACTGCACGCCACACGACAGCACACACCGCCACACACACCGCACACTACCACACGACACACCACCACACACACCACACATACCACACACACCACACACACCACACACACCACACGACAACGCACCACACACACCGCACATCACCACACACCACCCCATATACACCGCACACCACCCCACACACACCGCCACACACACACCGCACACCACCCCACACACACCGCACACCACCCCACACACACTGCACACCGCCACACACACACACCGCACACCGCCACACACACACCGCACACCACACGGTCACACGAACCGCACACCACTACACACACACACCACAACACGCACACCGCCACATACACACTGCACACCTCACCACACACACTACTACACAACACACACCGTAACACCACGTGACAACACACACACACACCCAGTCACCGCGTGTCAGACAGAGGAGTCGCGCGCCACGACGAGAGGTCGTGACCTGGCTGCCGAGCGGCGGGAGCGGTCGCCGCTGTTTGTGAATTCGGCTTCTGAAGACGAATCCCTCCGCCTCCTCCTCTGCCTCCTCCTCACCGGGAAGGCAGGGCGACCCGAGGTTAACACGCTCCGCCACGCAGAGCGGAGCGTGGCGTGGGTCGCTCACCGGGCCCCCCCCCACGGACCGTGCCGCCCGAGGCGCTCATTTAACCGCTCGGAGCGTCTGCGGGACGACTCACAGAGCGTCTGCGTGTGCCGTGTACTCTGCGTGTGCCGTGTACTCTGCGTGTACTCTGCGTGTGCCGTGTACTCTGCGTGTGCCGTGTACTCTGCGTGTACTCTGCGTGTGCCGTGTACTCTGCGTGTGCCGTGTACTCTGCGTGTACTCTGCGTGTGCCGTGTACTCTGCGTGTGCCGTGTACTCTGCGTGTACTCTGCGTGTGCCGTGTACTCTGCGTGTGCCGTGTACTCTGCGTGTACTCTGCGTGTGCCGTGTACTCTGCGTGTGCCGTGTACTCTGCGTGTGCCGTGTACAGAGCGTCTGCGTGTGCCGTGTACTCTGCGTGTACTCTGCGTGCCGTGTACTCTGCGTGTACTCTGCGTGTGCCGTGTACTCTGCGTGTACTCTGCGTGCCGTGTACTCTGCGTGTATTCTGCGTGTGCCGTGTATTCTGCGTGTACTCTGCGTGTGCCGTGTACTCTGCGTGTACTCTGCGTGCCGTGTACTCTGCGTGTACTCTGCGTGTGCCGTGTACTCTGCGTGTACTCTGCGTGTGCCGTGTACTCTGCGTGTACTCTGCGTGTGCCGTGTACTCTGCGTGTACTCTGCGTGTGCCGTGTACTCTGCGTGTGCCGTGTCCTCTGCGTGCCGTGTACTCTGCGTGTACTCTGCGTGCCGTGTACTCTGCATGTACTCTGCGTGTGCCGTGTACTCTGCGTGTACTCTGCGTGTGCCGTGTACTCTGCGTGTGCCGTGTACTCTGCGTGTGCCGTGTACTCTGCCTGTGCCGTGTACTCTGTGTGTCGTGTACTCTATGTGCCGTGTACTCTGCATGTACTCTGCGTGTGCCGTGTACTCTGCGTGTGCCGTGTACTCTGTGTGTCGTGTACTCTGTGTGCCGTGTACTCTGTGTGCCGTGTACTCTGCGTGTACTCTGCGTGTGCCGTGTACTCTGCGTGCCGTGTACTCTGCATGTACTCTGCGTGTGCCGTGTACTCTGCGTGTGCCGTGTACTCTGCGTGTGCCGTGTACTCTGCGTGTGTCGTGTACTCTGTGTGCCGTGTACTCTGCGTGTGCCGTGTACTCTGCGTGTGCCGTGTACTCTGCATGCCGTGTACTCTGCATGTACTCTGCGTGTGCCGTGTACTCTGCGTGTGCCGTGTACTCTGCGTGTGCCGTGTACTCTGCGTGTGCCGTGTACTCTGCGTGTGCCGTGTACTCTGCGTGCTGTGCGGTACCCACGCGGCTCTCCCACGTGCAGCGTCTCACACAGCATCCCCGTCAGCTCGATGCTGCTGCGTCCAAACGGGCACTCGTGCTTGTCGTCACGGCAACTGTTCTCCAGCACGAGCTGTGATGCCGCACACACAGACGTGCACACACAGACGATCAACACACACACACACAAAGACACACCAAAGATCCCCCGTATAGCCTTAACAGACCGTAGGAGCAAGTGCTGTTAGCAAGCATCTATGAAGGCCGGAACGGTACACGAGGGGGTGGGTGGCCAGCACCACGCCCGACCGCCTTTGTCTCCCCAGTGGCGATGTTTACACACCACACCGGGTACTCATTTGAGGCTGAGTCGACCTAGGGGAGGCCCAGGACCGACCGGTTCAGATAATCGTCACTGGGTCGCTAGGTTCATAGCGCAGCGCGCTAACCGCTACACTACCGCTCCCCCCCGTACACACACACACACAAAGACACCCGCACATACATCCATACAGACGGACTGACACACACCCAGGCAACTGAGGGACAGACAACACAACACAACGCTCCTCGTGTATTGCCAGGGAGTGCGGTGTGTGTTTGGTAGAGCCGCCCCCCTTTACCCCGGGGCATCTCAGAACGCTCACCGCACGACAAGCAACTCGCATCTCAAACAATCGCATTCAAAAGGGCTCCCTCGGCGGCAGCGGTGCGGCGCGAGGCCACTCGGCGCCTGGCCTGCGCGCCAGCGTTCGTCTGCCAGCGGGCGGAGACGGCCGCTGCGATGCGGTCTATCCTGGGGGCGCCCCCAGCGGCAGCTATCCCCGCTTGTCAGTTTTACACCGGCGGGCGACGGCCGCTCTGCGCGAGTACACTCGGGCGCCGCGCAGGCCGCGTCGGCGAGCGCCGGTCCGGCGGGCGTCGTGTGTCGCCCGCTCACCCGCACGTAGGGGTCCGTATGGTGCTTGGCAAAGTAGATCATGTTGTCCAGCGCCAGCATGCCCGGCGGGGTCTGCATGAAGTCCAGCGCCGGGTTCACGTGGTTCTGGGTCACGGGGCAACGCGGAGAAACAAACGCAGGTACGTGCGCAAAGCCAAGGATCTCCTGCGGGGCAATTGCTGTTAGCGAGTATCATCATCGCCCGCCGAGGCCGGCGCGGCACACGAGGGAGTGGGTGGTCAGCACCACGCCCGGCCGCCTTTATCTCCCCAGTTCTTATATTTAAACACTGCACAAGGAACTCGTTTTAGGCCGAGTCGAACTAGAAGAGGCCCACCACGACCGATTCAAATATCGCCACTGTAATTGGTCACAAGTGGGAATCGAACTTAGGTCGCCAGGTTCGTAGTGCAGCACGCTAACCACTGTGCCATCGCTCCGCCCACACGCACGCACACAGGGACACGCACGCACACAGGGACACGCACGCACGCTGGCTCACACACGCACGCTGGCTCACAGAAGCACGCACACAGGCACACGCACGCACACAGGGACACGCACACAGGCACACACAGGGACACGCACGCACGTCGGCTCACACACGCACACACACAGGCACACGCACGCACACAGGGACACGCACGCACATAGGGACACGCACGCACACAGGGACACGCACGCACACGCACGCACGCTGGCTCACACACGCACGCACACAGGGACACGCACGCACACAGGCACACACAGGGACACGCACGCACACAGACACATGCACGCACACAGGCACACACAGGGACACGCACGCATGCCGGCTCACACACGCACGCACACAGGCACACGCACGCACGTCGGTCCCCCGCGCTCGTGATGCTGCTGCCCCCCGCCCCTCGGTGCAGCGCTCCAGGCAATCCGAGTCACCAGTGCGTGGGCTCCCCCTGCCGGGCCGGCTCCACGCAGCGAGCAGCGCACTCACCGTGAAGCCCAGCTTCTTGTAGTCCTTGGAGTAAACTCCCTTGCGCCGGTCGAGCGTTCCCCCGGGGGCGCTCGCCGCCTCCGCCTCCGCGTCGAACGCGATGCGGCACAACTCGAACAGCGTGTCCCTCTGGGCCTGCTCACCCACCACCGCCACCACCACCGCCACGGAACTGCTCAACACCCAGCACCACGTTGTTCCCTGTGCTCCGGTGTCCCCGTGCCCCCATATCTCCGTATCGCTGTGCCCCCCGTGCCCCGTGTCCCCGTGTGACCCCGTGTGACCCCCCCGTGCCTCGCCTGGTCCTGTGGGTCCATCTTAGTCATCATCCGCTCCTCCAGGAGATTGAGCGACAGCACCTGCAGCACGTAGAGCTGGTGCGCCATCTCCGTGCCCACAATATGCTGGCCCCGGATCACCGACTGAGGGCAAACACCACCACCATCATCACTACCATCTTTACCACCAAGGTCAGAAGGTCAAAGAGAGTTCCTGCTACGACGAGCATTGAGGTGGTACTCATCTCCAGTTGACAACCCTAAGCCAGTGCTAGAAGTTTAATATGTCTGTGGCAGGGGCGCGTCTAAGAACAGGATAACCACTTCTCGATTTAAAGCTTTCGTGACTGCAGGGATTCATCTTCTTGGTTCTTTCGGTAAAGTCACGTAGAAGGGAAATAATCAAATAATAAAAATAAAACATAATAAAATAATTCTCACTTCCCGACAGACCTGTTCTTCACCTGAGGACGGCTGCTTGCGTTGTGGCCGAAACGTCGTGAGAATTATTTTATTATGTTTTATTGTTATTATTTTATTATTTCCCTTCTACGTAACTTTACCGAAAGAACCAAGAACAAGATAACCACTGTTTACTTTCTCACAAAGTGGAACTTATTGGATCAATCCTGGAGCGATGATGGGCAGAATCAACCCCTGAAACCAGGATTTGAATTCACAACCTACTGATTGTGAGCCACTCACTCTACCATCACCACCAACATCAGTCATCTCTATCAGTACTATCACCACCATCGTCTTCACAGTCATCACCATCATCGTCGTCGTCGTCATCATCATCATCACCACCACCACCACCACCGTCGTCATCATCATCATCACCGCTGCCACTTCCTTCGTGGCCACGCACGCGCACACCTACGTTGAGGATGACCGTGCGAAGTTGCTTCTGGCAGGGGCTGTTGGCCAGCTCCTGTATGGGAGAGACAAAGGTGGCTCAGTGTCCGTTCTGTCTGCACCATTCCTCGCGGACACACACAAAGCCCGACGGTGTTCACACAATCACACACTCGCACGCGTACACACTCGCACACTCACGCACTTGCACACTTTCACACTCACAAATGTGCACACTCACGCATACACACTTGTGCATACACACTCATGCACACACTCACAACCGCACTCATGCACTGACAAATTTTTACGCATGCACACTGAAAAACACGCGTGGGTACGACAAGTCACGAAACTCTAGTCTTATGATCGAAAAAATATTCGGTGATAAATTAAGCCCTGCTGTAAATAACAGCGCACGCACGCACGCACACGGCGCTAGCCGGCGCTGGCCGGCGCTGGCCGGCGTTGGCCGGCGGTGGCCGTACTCACGGTCAGGGGGGCGGTGAGAACCCTACCGGGGTCCTCCTCACTCATCTCTAGCATCCAGTCCAGCTGCGGGGCGCGTGGTTAGAGCGGGGCGGCACAGCGGGCGAAGCGCGGTTAGAAGGCGCGATGTGGTTAACGGGGAGCGTTGCGAGTGAACCGAGCGAGGAGGGAGACGAACGTGGATGCACGCACATAGATACGCAAGCACACAGATACACACAACGCACGCACACAAATACACACAACGCAAGCACACAGATACACACAACGCACGCACACAGATACACACAACGCAAGCACACAGATACACACAACGCACGCGATCAGACACGACAATATGGCTACACGCACACACACATGCATGCATATTGAGCTTCTTTCGGACTGTACAAAGCCAACCGTGCTAATTGGAGGTGCGAGAGCCTTAACAGACTGTTAAGGCAAGTGCCGTTAGGGAGCACCTATCGAGGCCGGGACAGTGCACGAAGGTGGTGGGTGGCCAGCGTCACGCTCGGCCGCCTTAGTCTCACCAGTGGTGATGTCCACACACCGCACCGAGTACTCATTTGTGACCGATCCGACCTAGGGGAGGCCCAGGACCGGTTCAAATATTCGTCACTGGTGCTGGTTCGAAGCCAACGCGCTAACCATCGCACTGCTGCTCCCCACACTGGTCGACACACACGGGGACACCCTGGCGGGAGAGGCCCCACAGGTGACACCGACCGCGAACTCCGAGCAGCACGGTCACGACCCCGGTCACAGAACCACCACCAAACACCGCAGTCCCACGCTCTCGCTCTCGACCCCACGGTCTCAGGACCGGTCGCGGCGCCACCGTCACGGCACCACGGTACCACCGTCAGAGCACCAGGGCGACGGTACCGTGGCGACCGCGCCGCGATTGCTATACCACGGGTGGCAGCACCTGCTTGGTCTCCTCGGGAGCCTTGAGCAGCAGCGCGTTGAGCAGCGCCACCGCGTTCGTCTGGATCTCTTGGTTGGACCTGCGGCGAGACCGAGAGACACGCGCTTTTCCATCTCCCGGCCCGGCAGAAACACCGAGGTTCACGCCGCGTCGTGGGCGCCGGTATAGCCAGATGAGATTTTATAGATCGCCGAGTCTCGGGGCTCTACTTCGGGCGGGCTCTGCGGTAATTTGCGACGTGAGTTTTCATATTTGGCAAATTTGGACCATGGCGCCAGCACCCGATGGCCGACTCTTCTCCGAACGACGTCGTGGGAATTTAACGTCCTCTGCGCTCGCGACATTAACCGGGGCGGCATGCCGGATATGAACCTCGCTAACGGCACTCTCCCCGACAGTCAGCCGAGGCTACGGGGGGACCGTGGAGCGTGCGTGTAGGCGCACGTGTGTGCACACGTGTATTCGTGTGTGTTGCATGCGTGTATTCGTGTGTGTACATGTGTGTTTTCGTGCGTGTGTGTGCGCGTGTGCATGCGTGCATGTGTGTGCGCGCGTTTGCGCGTGTGTGCAGTGCGTGTGTGCATGCGCGCGTGCGCGTGTACGCGCGTGTGTGCGTGTGTGCGTGTGTGCGTGTGCGTGTGCGCGCTGGTGCGTGTGCGTGCGTGGGGGCCCGTACACTTGCAAGTGGTTGATGAGCTGCCCGACGGTGATCTCCTGCGACACCACGGAGTAGAGGTTGAGGCTGTTGAGCACCATGCACTCGAGGATCGCGAGAGAGCGCTGCAGCAGCGTCGCGTCCAGGTTGGGGGCACGCACGTAGCTCGCGATCTGCCGCACGCCACACACGCATCACTCAATGCCTGGACGCCGGCATGGCAGGGCACATGGCACGCAAGACACGTGGTACAAAGGGCACGCACGGCACGCGGCAGAGACCACGGCAAGGAGAATGGCCGCCGGCTGCATCACAGAGGTAACAGGCCCTGCAATGTCCCGCTCACTCCACTGCTGGTGGAACCTGGGCCGGGCCTCCATAGCAGGGGACTCTAGCGGGTTCTCGGCCTCCACTTCCACGTCACCCAGACTGTCTTTCAAGTGGCGGACGTACCCACAAGTGTTACTCCACTGCTCTCAGTCTCCCGGCAATCGACGGCGCTGTTCACACTGCTGGCTGGAGATGGAACCGAACCGGCGTCAGGGAGGAGGGCTGCTTAACGCTCTGTGGAAACCTTCTGGAGGATTCCTGCTGTAAAGGTGGCGTGGGAGTATTCACGGATCACAGGGAGACGCCGGTTCTGAAACGTCGCACTCAGATCCACTGCCCAACGGCGGCCTCGCCGACGGGACGCTACCCCACCGAACGGCGTGGGTGTCGTGAACGTGCGTCAACAACCGCAACAACGCAAACAAAGCCAAGACACGCGGCACAAACCTTTTTGACGAAGCTGACCGTCAGGTTATCCCACGAGATGATTCCGTGGTCCATAAGCTCCAGGAAGGCGGTTAGCGTGAAGGCCAGGAGTTCCCCGAGACTGGCGGTCATCCCGGCGTAACGGCATAGTGACGACACGGTGACGACACGGTGACGACACGGCACACGCAGAGCAACAGCTAGAGCAAGGAGAGGCTGCGCTGGCCCAAGCGTTAGCGGTCGTGCGTTCGGTTAAAGGACGGGGTGCGCTCACGGTCAGAACCGAGCGAGGTCGATGCGGGGTGACAAGATCACGACAGAGTCGCGAGCGGAGTTGCGTGTGAAGCGGTTACAATGGCGAGGTGAGAGTCGGGGAGATCAGTGAACAGTGGTCGGGGTCAGGGGCCCGAGTACAGAATGACTGCGCAACGAGAGAAGTGTCACGAGTACAGGGGTGGTCAGGACCACGGCGTCACAAGTGTCTCTTCAAAATGGGAAGCAAGTCAACCTCGCCCCACATAACTAATAAAATTAATAACCAATGTAATCATTACATATGCAGACAATAAATCTCTGCCGCATGCCTTCTGGGAGTGCATCAGTGGCATTGATTTTACGCGAGAAAATCTCTAGACCGGTTTTGACTTTGAGTGTCACGTCAGGCTTGCTCGAGCCGATGCTGGTGATCTGCCAGATGTTGCGGGCAAGGACCCCCTCCGCTAGACATGGGTTCGACATACACATACGTGCGTCTAAAGTGCACAGAGCAATGGTGGCTATCTTGCACGTGGTTGTTTTGCTGGCAGCCGATTAACTAGTAGAGTGGCAGTGATGACATCATCCCAACCGCTGCCATGCCGACTATGTTGCCATCTCACCAGGGCAGCCGCTTCCCACATGGATTTGCGTGCGATTTTTTCTTTCATTGCATTTCAGATCCCGCTGCAACCACCAGCCATTGAACCTGCGGAACATCTCACGAGCATTTTCTGTACTTGGGCCCCGATGTCAGCAGGGCCGTGTTAGGGGTCGGGTCGGCGAGCAGAGGTCGTGTTACGGGTTAGGTCGTAGGCCAAGTCGGGGTCGTCGACGCGACGCACGAGCCCGACTGACAGAGGTCGCGCGTTCAGCAGGCACGGCGGCGAAGTGGCCAGGCGTGGAGACTGCAGAAGAGGAGGAGGAAGAGTTAGAGCGAGACGTGTGGAGAGTTAGTCTCGAGACGAGGTGGGGGGGCGGGGGGGTGGGCAGTCCCTTACCACGCCTTCATCATCTTCTGCAGTTTCACATAGCGTCTGCAAAACGTCAACACTGCGCATGTCACAGCATCCCGCACGCCGCTCCACAACAAACGCACTCGCAGATCGTGCCGAGTGCGTGCGCGTATTTTTGCGTGTATCTGTGAATGGTGTGGGTGCACTCATTTACCTACTCACTCACTCTAACATCACACACAAGACGAGGATCCCCGTGTAGTCTAAACAGACTGTCGGGGCAAGTGTTGCCAGCGAGCGCCTATAAAGCCCGGCACGGCACACGAGGGGGTGGGTGGCCAACACCACGCCCGGCCGCCTTTGTCTCCCTCGTGGCGTTGTTTAAGCATTGCACCAGGTCCTCATTTGAGGCCGAGTCGACCTTGGGGAGACCCGGGACCAGTTCAGATAACCGTTATCGGCGTCGGCCATGAATAGGAATCGAACTCGGGTCGCCGTGTCCGTAACGCGGCGCGCTAACCGCTGCACCGCCGCTCCTCCGGCCCCACGCGCACCGACCAGGCGAGCGCTCACTCACTCGACATCCACCATCTGCGTGAGAGCGGCGATGCCGTCGCGGGCGATGAACTCGCGGGCGAAGGAGGGGTCGGCGGCCAGCTTGGCGAGGCTCTTCACGGCCTCCAGCTTCGCCTCCATGCTGGTGGAGAGCAGCTTCTCGTGCAGCTCCCGCGCCATGCGCTCCTAGGCAAGGCCACGCAGATTAAGGTCCCCGTCGTGGCCTACGCAGGCCGCCGGGGCGAGTGCCGTGTGCGGGCACCTGCGAAGGCCGGAACGGCGCATGAGGTGGTGGCGTGCGGCTAGCGCCACGCTTTTGTTTTCCTAATGCTAATGTTTACACGCAGCACCAGGTACTCATCTCAAGTTAAAACAACCTACGGGAGAGGCCAAGGACCGGTTATTGGAGCTGTAATTGAATTTGAGTTGCTGAGTTCATAGTGTAGTGCAGTGTGCCAACCACAACACTTGTTACAGCACACACACACACACACACACTCGCCCACACCACACAGCGCACCACCGCACACACACACTCGCCCACACCACACACACACTCGCCCACACCACACACACACACACTCGCCCACACCACCCAGCGCACCGCCACACACGCGGTAGCGTACCTGTGACACGGCGAGCTTGAGAATCGCTCCATTCTTGACGTCGTTGCGATTCTGGGAGGCGAGACACGATGGCGCACGGTCACGGAGGAAATTAAGCCGCCACGCTCTGCAGGGTTCACGACTCACGGAGACGAGAGCCGCTATGGGAATGTGCCATTCCCCCCAGGCGGGCCCAGCCTGCTCCGGTCCCCCCATAAGACCGCGGGCTGTGGGGCGGAGGGAGATTTCATCGTCAACTGGCCTCAGGGCAGGGGACCTACGATTCTGGAGCCACAGGAATCTGAACCACCGCAGCCACGCCGCCCCCTCCTCCCCCCGAGCCCCCCAGGTCCCGTGACCCGTGCCACCAAACGCGACCCACGTGTGCATCTGCCGGCCACATGTGCGGCTCCCGCACAGAGGGTGGTGGGAGAGCTGGAGGAGAGAGCTAAGGGAGATGGAGGAGAGGGCTTCGAGAGAAGGAGGAGCTGGAGGAGAGAGCTAAGGGAGGAGGAGGAGCTGGGAGGGAGAGCTGGGGTGAGTTGTGGCACTTGGGAGATGCAACAGGGAAGGGCCACAAGTGCATACGGGGGAACAGTCCAACCCACGATCATGACGATTACGATTATGATGGTGATGGCAATGATGACGATTGCAATGATGAAGGTGGTGGTAACGAGGGCCCTTTGCAGAGTGTCCGCACCGCGTCACACCTCGCTCACGCTCGCTCAGCCGCGTTGTTTCCCTGTGACCTGGTGAGCAAAAAATGGTCTACGTGGAAGGAGGAACATCTGTGCCAGCTAGAAACATTCTGAGTTGGCTGGGGCATGTAGCCCGCATCCCCAGCCACCGCATGCCCAAGCAGCTTCTGTTTGGCCGAATAGAGGAGGCTAAATGGGCATGGTACACACTAGAGAAGAGATGGACTGATGTGGTTTAGAATGATGTGGAGCTGATTGGACTTGCCAATTACCGGTACCAGCGGTGTCCAGATCGGCCTCAATGGAGGAGGCTCATGAAGGATGATACAGGGCCCTGGGAGGCAGTCGCCCTCCAATAACAAAATAATGCAGAGAAACGATGCACCTGGGTCTGTCCCGTGACCCCCTGCCAGTGAGTCTTTGACAACTCACGTGGTCTCAAAGTGCACCTAGCCTGGCACAAGCACTGTGGTGACATAACTGCTGCTTCGTGGCGAATGGCAGCCATTGTTGATGTTGTTGGGGAGCTGCGGGGAGCTGGAGGCGATGTCACAAACAGCTGCGACAGTGGGCACAGAAGAGAATGAACCTCACGTTGCCATCACGACCGCCGGGGACCGTGGACAGGGGTTAGACTCGGGGTCATTGGGTCGGGGTTCGACTCGGGGTTCGACTCGGGGTCATTGGGTCGGGGCGACGGTCAGCACCTTCTCTGTTATGTAGAACTCCGTGCCGTCTCCGTACTGCAGCGTGAACTGCGCCGGGTCCGGCAGCTTCCATCTGCAAGGCCGGTGGAAGGGGGGGGGGAGTGACCTCTTGGCGCCCGGCACACCGCGTCCCGTATCCTCTCTCACGCTGCGAGTCGCACGCCCGCTCCGCTCTCCCACAGCAGCCAGGAAATATCCGGCGAGAAAACGGCAGTGGCCCAGCGGCGGCGACGGAGCGCGGCGCCTGCCACCGCTGGCACGCGCTCGCCCCGCGGGCCCGCAAACAAGCGTGCCATTATTCACTCTGCCCGGCACGGCCCCACCCACTCACCCCCCCGGGGGGCCCCTACCCCACCCAGGGAAACAAATGCCATGGGATGTGAAAAGAGCGCGAATTAAGATGTCCGCACATTGAGCGGATGCAGCGGCACAGTGAGCGGTGTGTGTGTCTGTGTGTGTGTCTGTGTGTGTGTCTGTGTGTGTCTGTGTGTGTGTCTGTGTGTGTGTCTGTGTGTGTGTCTGTGTGTGTGTCTGTGTGTGTGTCGGTGTGTGCGTCGGTGTGTCTGTGTGTGTGGAGTGTATATAGTGAGTATGTGGTGTGTATGTGTGTGGGGAGTGTCTGGTGCATGAGCGGTGGGATGGAGTGAGGGGATGAGGGGGAGGAACAAGAGCACTGTCTTCAGTGCCAGAATCACGGGGAGCAGCGTCCGTGTCACCCTCCTGTCTCCGTGTCACCCGTGTCTCTCCGTGTCACCCGCGTCTCCCCGTGTCACCCGCGTCTCCCCGTGTCACCCGCGTCTCCCCGTGTCACCCGCGTCTACCCGTGTCACCCTCCTGTCTCCGTGTCACCCGCGTCTCCCCGTGTCACCCGCGTCTACCCGTGTCACCCTCCTGTCTCCTTGTCACCCGCGTCTCCCCGTGTCGCCCGCGTCTCCCCGTGTCACCCGCGTGTCCCCCGTGCAACTTACGTTTCGCACACCTCCTGCACGATGGCGCTCAGCGGCTTCTTCTGTAACAGAGAAGCGCGTATCAGTGTCCCGCACAGCCTGGCTCACACACCTCATCATCGTCCTCGCCGCCATCATTCCCACTGCTGGTTGAAGATCTCCCCAAGACACCATCTCTCACGACGGTCTTGCGACGTAACGATCCATCCGGTTCGCCCTCCCCGCTCCATCCACGTCAGCGGACATAATCATCTCCCGCCTTGGGCTGCCATTCCGTCACTAACCCCGACCGCCGGCCGGCACCCGTCGTCGTCGTCATTGTTGTTGTCGCCGAGTGACTAAACCGTGGCGTCTCCAAGCCGGCATCAGGGCCACCGACCTCGTGGTCTCTGGCACGCCGCTGGCGTTCGCCGCCGAAGGCCTCGCCGTGCCCACACTACGAGCTTCACTCCTGCGCCGTGGAGCCGCTCACTGCGGTCGCCACTGAATTGCGTTCCGCGGCACGCCCTGACGACGCGACTCTCCTGGGCGCCAGCGGTAGTCGCGAGTTTGGCTTCCCGTTGCGCGGGAGTTGAGCGTCGTCATGTTTTTACGCTCCACTGGCCTCCCGGTAAGAGCCGAGTTCGCTTCAGATCTCCACCTACGGCTCACTCGAGGCAAGCGGCCAAACGGCCTTCCAACCGCGGCGACGTTACATTCCCACGACGCTCGGAACACGCACACTCTCGGTCGCACGACGGACCGGCAGCCCGAATGCTATCGTTGCGTGGGGTTACGTCGAGTTGGAGCAAGAATACGAGCGTGTTTAATGGGTGGCTGAGCCACTAATTTTAAACTGAATCATTACATTTTTAATGTCACGTCACAACTATGTTGTCAGGAAATAATGTTTTAAAAACAGGAAACCGATGCATTTCCGAACGGACGTCACGACCATTGCGCATCTCATCTCGTCCGATGCACCGCGCCGCGCCGTGCGGGCGCGTCACCTGGTCGATCTCGATGAAGAGCGGGAACTGGTCGAGGTACTGGATGGCGACCTTCACCACGTCCTGCGGGGGAGGCATCGCCACGGCGACGCAGCCAGGCCGGCGGGCAGAAAGATGGACAGAGGGCGACAGAGAGACAGAACTACAGAGACAGAGAGGGAGCGAGGCGAAAATTGAGGGGTGGCGGGAAAAAGATCGAGGGAGAAGACAGAGAGAAAGCCGAAGAGGCAGAGAGAACGAGACAATGACAGAGAGACAAAGAGGGAAACGGAAAAAAGAGGGAGTCACAGTGAAACGGACAGAGAGAGAGAGAGAGAAGCCGGGGGGCCGGGAGGCGGGGACCCGGAGTGGGGGTGGCGCTGGAGTGAGGAGAGCGACGAGGGGGCGGCGAAGTCACGCGGAGGACCTCGATGCCTTGGCCCCTGCCGAGGAGGAGGAAGAGGAGGAAGAGGAGGAGGAGGGGAATGATGACACAGTTTTACTTATCGCGCCGCACATCACTCCGCGGCGCGTCCTCCATCCCCGCCCAACGCCTCCAACTCTCACACCTGGAATTCTTTAAGTGTGACTGAGATGCAGCAGCAACAGCAGCAGCCGCGCATAAACTTTCACAAATGCGTGAAATTGGCGACGGACAAAAACAGGTCGCCTCCAATCGTAGAGACGCGGGGACGCGGCGTAGCTCATTCACGCGCGTGCTGCGTCTTCAGGGTTCTGCGTCTCGCGGTCGCGCTGGGATGGCATGCGCTGCGACAGGACCGGTGGTGGTGGAGGTTCAGTTTTGTAACGAGCTTCAAAGGACGCGAGGCCCAGACAGTGCGGGCCGCACTTCCGCATACTGACGAGGCCACAGCGGCCCAACGACACGCACAGCGTCCGGCTGCGTGGATACACACGTGTACACACACGGCTACAGCCACACCGTCTCAACAACACATACGCACGCGTCTAGACAGGCAGGCTACAGCTGCACATGCAGCCACGTGCACATACCCACACGTGCGTGCATACACACACACGCGCGCAACCGTGCAAACACACAGCACATGCACACGCACAAAAACAGATGCCCACACCACACCCACACGCGCATGATCGTTGAGGGGAGTGCGGACACAAGCGGAGGCAGAGACACAGGCGGCACGGTCACACAGCACCCAGTGAGCGCCACAGCGAGATTGCTGCTACAGGCATTGTGCTCCGCACGCACGCGGATGGCGGTAGTGGTGGCGATGGTGGCGATGATGATGAAGGTGCCGCCGATGATTGTGAACATTACGGCGATGTCGATACCGACGATGATAATCGTGACCACGTCGATGTCGATGATCGAGGTGACAATGTGATGATCGTGATGATGAGGACGATGTTGGCGATGCCGGGCTCACAGGCGGCAGGCCACGTCGTTGCCGGAGCGACCGTGTGGAGGCCACAGCGGCCGCCGCTCCACCCAGTTTCCGCGTTTCCACGTGAACCCTCCCACTGGTGCAGCAGCAGCAGCAGCTCGTTACCTTGGCAACAGCAAGCCGCCTAATCACCGAGCGGCACGCGCCGCCTGCACCGGGGAGCCGCTTGCCGCCACTACGGCAAACTATCACCACTACCACCTATACCGCAACTACCACCGCGACCGTGGGCACCACCACCATAACAATGAACTGCCACCACCACCAGCACCACCACTACCACCAGCATCACGACCACTGCCATCATCACTGCCTTTACCATCACTGCTGCATTCACCAACACCACCGCTGTGGTGAACAGCCATTAATTACTGCCACCAGCATTGCCACCACCACTACCACAGGGTGGGTGGTTATGTGTGTGGTTGAGTGGGTGGGTGGTTGATTTGTTGGTTGGCTGGGTGGGGGCAACTGCTGGACACTGCCGACATTGGTTGTGGCTCGCACCCAGCAGCGGTGGGCACCGGGAGAGGACTCCGCCACCACCGGGCAATGGTGCCCTGAGGTGCCCAGCAATCTCCTCCTAAATTGCGGCCATCGCACGTTCGGCCCAATATCAGCTCCGCACCGAAAACCAATTCAGGCGTATTGCGTGGCCGCCCGACTCCAGGACCGGCTCAACTGCCCGGTGGTCACTGGAAGGGCGAGCAGCGAATCGAAAGGGCCCGAGGGCCAGGACGGCAAGGCCTGCATCGCCCGTGTGGAGACGCTCATCTCGGCAGAGTCGTGGCGGGGACCGGGCAGGCCCGAGAGGAGCCACACGACGGGCCGGGCGAGCGGGAAACTCCTCGAGGCGCCCGGAGGCTTTCAGATGCAAACGAGGAGCGCCGGAGGTGACGGCTCAAGGCGCGGGTCCCACGGCCGCCCCCCCCCCCCCATTCATCGCCGTGCCCCCACTCTCGGGGCACAGGGAGAGAGAGCGAGAGAGTGATCGTCTTTCCGCTCACACGCACACAGCCACATAAAACCACTTACGCAATCACACGGGCACGCATACTAAACGACTTACAGCCACCTACACAGTCGCACATACACAAAACTACCCAAACACAGAGCCACAAAGATCCCCCCGTATAGCTTTTACGGACTGTTGCAGCAAGTGCTGTTAGCGAGCACCTATGAAGGCCGGGTGTGGGTGGCCAGCACCATGTCCCGCCTTTGTTTCCTCACTCTTCATGTTTACACACCTCACCAGAGACACTGCCACTCACTCACATGAGCGGGTGTATTTGTTTTGTAGAGACATGTTGTAAGTCAATCATGGACTGGGTGTCTTTGCGGGTGTATGGGTTCCCTTTGTGAGTCTGTGGATCTCTATGTAAGTCTATGGGTCTCAGTGGTGGAGCATGGTTGGCACGGGCCCTGGTGCCAGAAATGAAATGGGGCCTCCAATGTCCAATTTCTCCCCGCTTATCGTAGGCTGGCACCTGAGCACAGGGTCCTCTGTGCAGCTGCACTGCCTGGACACTCAACAACCACACCACTGCCTGGACACTCGGCACCCTCGCCAGGGAGCGCAGGTAAACGGTGAACACCTCCACACGGCGAGTGTTTGGGCTGAGAGGCGTGTAGTGGGCCTCTTCAGGCCCAGAGAAATGCAGTGCTCAGACTGTGGCACGGGGAGGGAGGGCACGAGGGGACAGGGACCTCAAACGAGCAGCAGGGGTCAGGTCCGTGCTGAGGCCCCCACATCAAAGGGAACGCCCTCTCCTTCACGACCTCACGACCCTACGCCAAATCCCACTCAACCACGGGGAGTGAAGCATGCGTTTTCCTCTCTCCCCGCTCTCCCCCAGGCATTCTCTCCCCGCTCTCTCTCCTCATCTTGGAGAGTGAATCACTCCCGCCCAAGAGGAAGCGAGACGCGCAAGCGCCCGTGGCAGGAAGTCACGAGGCCCCGGACGAGAAACCGAGGAAGCAGCGGCTGCTCGAGATAAGGATGTGCGCAGGGGGTAGGGGAGCAGCACATACCACCCCACCACCACGCCCCATCTGTGGCTCAGAGCCCACACCACCACCACGCCGCACCTGTGGCTCAGAGCCCACACCACCACCACCACGCCGCACCGGTGGCTCAGAGCCCACACCACCACCACCACGCCGCACCGGTGGCTCAGAGCCCACACCACCACCACGCCCCACCGGTGGCTCAGAGCCCACACCACCACCCCCACGCCGCACCGGTGGCTCAGAGCCCACACCACCACCACGCCCCACCGGTGGCTCAGAGCACACACCACCACCACCACCACACCCCACCGGTGGCTCAGAGCCCACACCACACCATAACCCACCAGCAGTGGCTTCTAGACCACAACACGACTCCTCACACCCAGCACGCGCCACACCTCACTGGTAACTCAGAGCTCACAGCACAACCATCTCCATTTAACCACAACCACCATAACTCAACCACAGCCATCTTCACTCAACCGCAACCACCATCACTCAACCACCCCACCCCACCCCGCCCAGCAGCGTCTCGCCAGCCCCCCAGCACACACGCCGCAGGCCCCCCCCCCCCCAGCACACACGCCGCAGGCCCCCCCCCCAGCACACACGCCGCAGGCCCCCCCTCCCCCCAGCTGTCATCATACCCAGCGGCTGGGGCTTCCAGGTGGCCAGGGCATAACAGTTCGGCTCGGATCCTTGAATCCATCTTTGCAGAAATTTGAGTGTCAAATACTAGAATGAGTGGTGGGCTTTCTCTGATTGTTTTCATTCTGTAGGAAGCCAAACTGTCATTAATTAGAATGATTCTGCATTTTAACCAGGAAAGCCTCAAGACTCGGTGGGCCCTGGCAAGTTCTCGCAGGAGGGGGTGATTTTGCTGCTACGTGAAATCCCAATTGAGTAATTTGCAGATATTTCAGCATTAGGATGTTTGACCAATAGGGTTACACTGTGTGTGTCTTTAGCAATGGGAGGATGAAACACAAACATAACAGGGGGAGGACATACAAACTCCAACAACAACAGATGCCATTCGCCACTAAGTGGCAGTGACATCACCCCAACGCTTGTGCCAGGCTAGGTGTACTTTGAGACCACATGCAATGTCGAAGGCTCGCTGACAGGTTGGCTGAGATGACCGGCAGATGTACCACCTGTGCTCCCTACTGTGCAAACTTGCTGCATTTTATACACCCGGCGCTCCCCTTATTGTTGTGAGCGTCGCACCTCTGCTGTTGTTGGGTGACTGCCGCGAACTGCCCAGTAGCAGCGCCCTCCATGGTCATGGGAGGCAACATGACCCAACCAATTCAACCTCACCTGCCGAAGGAGCTCACTGATACGACTGTGTTCAAAGCATCCAAGGATGTGTGAGCTCCTCACACAATCGAGTCCCGTTAAACCCAGAATGGTTTGTAGGCAGGTCAGCCGAAATGTTTCTAAACGGCGCAAATGTTCCTACATTGAGATCCACGTTTCGCAGGTATAGAGAAGAGAGGGCATAAACTGTGGCCGAAAAGACCAGAAGCTTCGTATGGAGCGACAGGCCAGGTCGGTTCAACACAGCAATGTGGAATGCAAGCTCCACACACTCACTCTCGCTCTTACTAATTCACACTCTCGAGTCGATAGAACAGGGAGAGAACATACAAACTCCACACTGCCTGAATGGAATTCATGGCCAGACATATCAAGGGAGCGGGGAGAGACCTCCTGAGCGAGATTCCTGAGACTCGCCGGGGCTCTGCCGGTTCGCGGTAACAGCGGACTCGGGCGCGTGTGAACCCCAGAGCGCTGTCACTGAAGAAGGCGGCGCAGCAACAACAACAGCAACAACAGCAACAACAACAACAACAGCAGCAACCCGCAGGGCCCAGCTGTTGGGCGCTGCTGGGGTCAGTGCCCGGTCCCTGCCTCACTGCACCCGTCACGGCGCAGAGTGAAGCAGTATCACCAAATAATGTACTGCGTGTGTGTACTGTGTGTGTACTGTGGATGTGTACTGTGTGTGTGTACTGTGTGTGTGTACTGTGTGTGTGTACTTTGCGTATTGTCACGTGTACGCTGCGTGTGTATTGTCACGTGTACGCTGCGTGTGTACTGTGTGTGTATTGTCACATGTACGCTGCGTGTGTACTGTGTGTGTACTGTGTGTGTACTGTGTGTATTGTCACGTGTACGCTGCGTGTGTACTGTGTGTGTACTGTGTATTGTCACGTGTACGCTGCGTGTGTATTGTGTGTGTACTGTGTGTGTACTGTGTGTGTATTGTCACGTGTACGCTGCGTGTGTACTGCGCCGTCAGGAGCAGCAGCAGCAGCAATGCAAGCCCGCGACCTCCGCCCTGCGGGTGTTTGCTCCCGCACGGGAAGGACACCAGGAGGAGAGAGCGGCGGCATGCGGCTAACACCGCAGCAGCAGCAGCAGCAGCACATCGCCACTTACCCACAGCCCCCCATCACTACCCGTGCCGGCGTTATGGGCACCATCACCAAAATAATAACAAAACACCGATTGCGACCACCAACCCTCACCATCCCATCGTCACCACCATAACCACGATAAAAACGTTACTGTCGCAACCACCATCGATCATCAACTACCATAATCATCAGAAGAACCACTCCGACCACAACCACCAGCACCGCTAGCACCGCCGTGACCACGGCCACTTCATCACCACCATCATCGTGAGCGCCAAGAGTCCAGCGGGGTCGACACCACCATCATCACAGTAATCCACAATCACCACCATCACCACCACCATCATCACAATAATCCCCACCATCACCACCATCAATCACCACAATCACCACCATCACCACCATCAATCACCACCATCACCACCATCAATCACCACCATCACCACCACAATCATCACCATCACCACCACAATCACCACCATCACCACCACCATCACCACCACAACCACAATCACCACCACCACAATCACCACCACCACAATCACAATCACCACCACCACAACCACCACCACCACAATCACCACCACAACCACCACCAATCACCACCACCACAATCACCACCACAATCACCACCACCATCACTACTACCACCACAACCACCACCACCACAACCACCACCACCACAATCACCACCATCACTACTACCACCACCACCACAACCACCACTACTACCACCATCACTACTACCACCACCACAACCACCACCACCACCACCAAAATCACCACAACCAACAACAACACAACCACCACCACCACAATCACCACGACCACCACCACAACCACCACCACCACAACCACCACCACAATCACCACCATCACTACTACCACCATCACTACTACCACCACCACCACAACCACCACCAGCACAACCACCACGACCACCACAACCACCACCATCACTACTACCACCACCACCACCACAATCACCACCACCATCACCACCAAAATCACCACCACCACAACCACCACGACCACCACCACAACCACCACCACCACAACCACAACCACCACCACCACAACCACCACAACCACCACCACCACAACCACCACCACCACAATCACCACAACCACCACCACCACCACAACCACCACCACCACCACAACCACCACAATCACAATCACCACCACCACAACCACCACCACCACCACAACCACCACCACCACCACCACAACCACCACCACCACCACCACAACCACCACAATCACCACAACCACCACCACCACAACCACCACCACCACCACAACCACCACCACCACCATCACCAGGCGCTCGAGTTCCGCGCCGCCCGTGGGCAGCGCCGGGAGCGCTCTGCGGGGATGGAGACCCCGAAGGGTTGACCCCTGGGGAGCTGCAGGGACGCGGGTCGGGGCGATTGACCGAAGAGCAGGAGAGACAGACAGCGGCACCCTCTCACCTGCAGTGGGGTCCAGCCGGAACGTCGCCTCCTCCTCCTCCAACTCGTCGTCGTCGTCTCCCCGCTGCCTCCTCCCCCCGCGCCCTGCAGCCCCCCCCCTCACTCCGGGGGGCCCCGCCCCTCGTTTCCTACCCTCCAGTCACGTGCGAGTCACGTGACGTGGAAAGAGGAAATGCGCGGAGTCCCCCAAACACCCCCCTCGCCCCGCCCCCTCGCCCCGCCCCCTGAGATTTGACGACGCGGGGACACGGAGACACGGGGTGAGAGAGACACAGACACGGGGGAGACACGGGGTGAGAGAGACACAGAGACACGGGGGAGACACGGGGTGAGAGAGACACAGAGACACGGGGGAGACACGGGGTGAGAGAGACACAGAGACACAGAGACACGGGGGAGACACGGGGTGAGAGAGACACAGAGACACGGGGGAGACACGGGGTGAGAGAGACACAGAGACACGGGGGAGACACGGGTGAGAGAGACACAGAGACACGGGGGAGACACGGGGTGAGAGAGACACAGAGACACGGGGGAGACACGGGGGAGACACGGGGTGAGAGAGACACAGAGACACGGGGAGACACGGAGACACGGGGTGAGAGACAGCCTCGCGGAGACACGGGGACACGGGGACTCAGAGACACGAGGACACGGGGACTCAGAGACACGGGGACACTGAGACACAGGGAGCACGAACACTCGGGGGGGGGATGGGGGACACGGAAAGGCGGGGACGCGTGATCTGCGTGACACAGCCGTGTTTGGGAACATTCTGTTGATAAACATCAGCGGAGACGCGGGGCAGAGCAGGGCCCGGGGGGGGGGACTGGGTGAGGGGGTGGGGGGTGAGGGGGGGGGACTGGGTGAGGGGGTGAGGGGGTGGGGGGTGAGGGGGTGAGGGGGGGGACTGGGTGAGGGGGTGAGGGGGTGGGGGGTGAGGGGGTGAGGGGGTGGGGGGTGAGGGGGGGGACTGGGTGAGGGGGTGGGGTGAGGGGGTGGGGGGTGAGGGGGGGGGACTGGGTGAGGGGGTGGGGTGAGGGGGTGAGGGGGTGGGGGGTGAGGGGGTGAGGGGGTGGGGGGTGAGGGGGGAGACTGGGTGAGGGGGTGGGGGGTGAGGGGGGGGGGACTGGGTGAGGGGGTGAGGGGGTGGGGGGTGAGGGGGTGAGGGGGGGGACTGGGTGAGGGGGTGGGGGGTGAGGGGGTGGGGGGTGAGGGGGGGGACTGGGTGAGGGGGTGGGGGGTGAGGGGGTGAGGGGGTGGGGTGAGGGGGTGGGGGGTGAGGGGGGGGGACTGGGTGAGGGGGTGGGGTGAGGGGGTGAGGGGGGTGGGGGTGAGGGGGTGAGGGGGTGGGGGGTGAGGGGGGGGACTGGGTGAGGGGGTGGGGGGTGAGGGGGTGAGGGGGTGGGGGGTGAGGGGGGGGACTGGGTGAGGGGGTGAGGGGGTGAGGGGGGTGGGGTGAGGGGGTGGGGGGGTGAGGGGGGGGGACTGGGTGAGGGGGTGGGGTGAGGGGGTGATGGGGTGGGGGGTGAGGGGGTGGGGGGTGAGGGGGTGAGGGGGTGGGGGGTGAGGGGGTGAGGGGGTGGGGGGTGAGGGGGGGGACTGGGTGAGGAGGTGAGGGGGTGGGGGGTGAGGGGGTGGGGGGTGAGGGGGGAGACTGGGTGAGGGGGTGGGGGGTGAGGGGGGGGGACTGGGTGAGGGGGTGAGGGGGTGGGGGGTGAGGGGGTGAGGGGGGGGACTGGGTGAGGGGGTGGGGGGTGAGGGGGTGGGGGGTGAGGGGGGGGACTGGGTGAGGGGGTGGGGGGTGAGGGGGTGAGGGGGTGGGGTGAGGGGGTGGGGGGTGAGGGGGGGGGGACTGGGTGAGGGGGTGGGGTGAGGGGTGAGGGGGTGGGGGTGAGGGGGTGAGGGGGTGGGGGGTGAGGGGGGGGACTGGGTGAGGGGGTGGGGGGTGAGGGGGTGGGGGGTGAGGGGGTGAGGGGGGTGGGGGGTGAGGGGGGGGACTGGGTGAGAGGGTGAGGGGGGTGGGGTGAGGGGGTGGGGGGTGAGGGGGGGGGACTGGGTGAGGGGGTGGGGTGAGGGGGTGATGGGGTGGGGGGTGAGGGGGTGGGGGGTGAGGGGGTGAGGGGGTGGGGGGTGAGGGGGTGAGGGGGTGGGGGGTGAGGGGGGGGACTGGGTGAGGGGGTGAGGGGGTGGGGGGTGAGGGGGTGAGGGGGTGGGGTGAGGGGGTGGGGGGTGAGGGGGGGGGACTGGGTGAGGGGGTGAGGGGGTGGGGGGTGAGGGGGGGGACTGGGTGAGGGGGTGAGGGGGTGGGGGGTGAGGGGGGGGACTGGGTGAGGGGGTGAGGGGGTGGGGTGAGGGGGGGACTGGGTGAGGGGGTGAGGGGGTGGGGGGTGAGGGGGGTGAGGGGGACCCGGCCCCCACGGGTCCCTGTGAGGGGTCGTGGCTGGGTGTTAGTCGACACAGCCCATCATCCTTGCAAGGTTAATAAAGTGAGTACCACGTTGTGATGAGGTCAAGTCTTTGCTCTATGGATAAACTAGGCAATGTGTCAGGGTCACTTGTCCATACTTCACCACGCCGGTCAGTGCGCGTTGGTGGAGAGGGGAGGGGGGAGATCAGGAACGGTTCTTGGCACACTGCCCATTGATGTTAGCCGTGTTTGGGAATTGAACTCGAGTGACCGCTCAACTCCATTTGCGTTATTGCTGTTTAAGATCAGTGCTGTGTACTGACGTTCATTGTAATTGAGGTATATTAGTGGAAACATGACTTTGAGTGTATATAGGGCCTCGATTGGTGTGTAGAGATCTCGATCGGTGCGTATCGGCCTGTGGGGTTGTGTTGCAGCTGTTTGCGGCATTATTTGTGGGGGGGACCCGGGCCGGTCCCTGCCGCCTCATGGAACTCTTCTCAGTCACACAGACAACAACAACAACAACAACCGCCATTGGCCACTCGGTGGCGGTGACGTCACCACGACGCTTGTGCCAGGCTAAGTGCACCTTGAGGCCACGTGAAGTGTCGAACGCCAGCTGGCAGGAGGTCACGGCGCAGACCCAGCAGGTGCCACGGGTCGACTGACTGAGATGACCGAGATGACTGGCTGATGCACCACCTGTGCCCCCTACTGTGCCAACTTGCTGTGCTTTAGCCACCCGGCGCTCCGCTCGTTGTTGTGAGCGTCGCTCCTCCGCCCTCCGTTGTTGCTGGAGGGCGACTGCCTCCAACTGCCCAGTAGCAGCGTCCTTCACGAGCCTCCTCCACTGAGGCCGATCTTGACACCGCTGGTACCGGTCATCGGCAAGTCCACTCAGCTCCACGTCCTCCTGTACCACATCACTCCATCTCTTCTGTAGCCCGTGCCGCGCCCGTTTATCCCCCTCGATCCGGCCAAACAAAAGCTGTTTAGGCATGCGGTGGCTGGGCATGCGGGCTACATGACCCAGCCAACGCAGCCTTGCCTGCCAGAGGAGCTCACCGATGGGACTTTGCCCAGATCTTTCAAGGATTTGTGAGCTCCTCACACAATCCAGCCTGGTTAAACCCAGGATGGATCGTAGGCAGGCCAGCCTAAATGTTTCCAACCACACACACATGCCCATTGATACACTGACGCACACTCTCACATACACAGACACTGACACACACACTCACACACATTCCCATTGATACACTGACACACTCGCACACACACTCACACACACAGACACTGACGCACACACACACAGACACTGACACACACACTCACACACACAGACACTGACGCACACACTCACACACAGACACTGACGCACACACGTACACACTCACGGGTTTCGCGCTCTGTGCCTGCCGGGCACCACCCGCGTTACCCCCCCTCGGGGTGACAGCGACGGGGACGTCGCCCAGTTTCTCTCACGCCGCCGAGTGATTCCACAGGTCACACCCAGAGGAGCGTCACCCGGAGTCTCAGGGGACATGGCCCGGCTCCCCCTGCTCCTCCTGCTCCCCCTGCTCCCCCTGCTCCCCCTGGCCGCCTGCGCCACCCCCGAGCCGGGGTCGAGGCTGGGACCCGGAGTGAATGGTGGTTTCGGGTGCCTGGGTAAGTTTGGGGATTCTTCACCACTCACCTCATTCGCCACCTCTCAATTTCACAACTCCTCACGCTTCATGCCAAACCGCTCACCACACGCCACTCGCACCCCCATTTATCTCACTCGCGCCTCACCACTCACCCCTCACCCCACTCACTCAACCTGGGTGGGCTCTGCGGCTCCAGGTGCAGCTGTGGTGCTGGTGGTGAGCATTGGTGAGTGGTGGTGGGCTGTGGTGGGCTGTGGTGAGTTGTGGTGCTCCTCGTTGATGCCAACTGGTGCTAGTGAATGTTCGTGAGCTCTGTTGAGTGGTTGTTTTGGTGAGCCATGGTGAGAATTGGTGAGTGTTTGAGTGGTAATTGTACCACTGCTCACCAACAATCCCCACCGTGTCCAGGCTGCGTGATCGCGGTGGGCATGGTGCAGCAGTTGTCAGAGATTCACAACGACTCCATCTCGAGCGCCATGGCGAGGGTGTGTGGGGTGCTACCTGGTGAGAACACACCAACACGTACCACCTGCACCACCACCAACACATGCCACCTGCACCACCACCAACACCAACACGTGCCACCTGCACCACCACCAACACGTGCCACCTGCACCACCACCACCAACACGTGCCACCTGCACCACCAACACGTGTCACCTGCACCACCACCAACACGTGCCACCTGCACCACCAACACGTGCCACCTGCACCACCAACACGTGCCACCTGCACCACCACCACCAACACGTACCACTTGCACCACCACCAACACGTGCCACCTGCACCACCAACACGTGCCACCTGCACCACCACCACCAACACGTACCACTTGCACCACCACCAACACGTGCCGCCTCAGCTACCACCAACACGTGCCACCTGCACCACCAACACGTGCCACCTGCGTCACCAACACGTGCCACCTGCGTCACCAACACGTGCCACCTGCGTCACCAACACGTGCCACCTGCGTCACCAACACGTGCCACCTGCACCACCAACACGTGCCACCTGCGTCACCAACACGTGCCACCTGCGTCACCAACACGTGTCACCTGCGTCACCAACACGTGTCACCTGCGTCACCAACACGTGCCACCTGCGTCACCAACACGTGCCACCTGCGTCACCAACACGTGCCACCTGCGTCACCAACACGTGCCACCTGCGTCACCAACACGTGCCACCTGCGTCACCAACACGTGCCACCTGCGTCACCAACACGTGCCACCTGCGTCACCAACACGTGCCACCTGCGTCACCTGCACTAATTTCCCACAGAGACCCACAACTTCCGAGCCTCGTGCCAGATCCTGCTCCAGGTGTTCGGGCCAAGCATCAAATGGATGTGAGTACCAGGTTCATGGTCCAGTGCATGAGTGGCTGAGTGGGCGAGTACATTAGTGAGTGAATGGGCGAGTTGTGGTCAGGGCCGGATCAAGGCGTAGGGGGGGGGGCTTCAGGGGCTGCAGCCCAGGGGCCTCCGCCAGCTGGAGGGGGCCTCCAGAGACGAAGTGAAAAGTTGTTTCGTTTTGTGAGTGCTGAATTTTATTTGTTGTTAGCCTTGTAAAAATACATTTGTATTTTTCTTTCACTTTGTTTCCTTTTAAAATATTACTGGGGGCGTCACAATACCTGTAGCCCAGGGGCCTACACAATCTTAATCCGGCCCTGGTTGTTGTGTGTGGTTTGGTGTGTTTGTGGTGTGTGTCCAGTATGGTGTGTGTCCAGTGTGGTGTGTGTGGTGGAGGTTGCGGTGTGTGCGGCTCTGTGTGTGGTGTAGGGTGTGGTGTGTGGTGTAGGGTGCGGTGTGCGGTGTGTGTGGTGGAGGTTGCGGTGTGTGCGGCTCTGTGTGTGGTGTAGGGTGCGGTGTGTGGTGGAGGTTGCGGTGTGCGGTGTGTGTGGTGGAGGATTGCGGTGTGTGCGGCGCTGTGTGTGGTGGAGGTTGTGGTGTGTGCGGCGCTGTGTGTGGTGGAGGTTGTGGTGTGTGTGGCGCTGTGTGTGGTGGAGGTTGTGGTGTGTGTGGCGCTGTGTGTGGTAGAGGTTGTGGTGTGTGCGGCGCTGTGTGTGGTGGAGGTTGCGGTGTGTGGTGTGTGTGGTGGAGGTTGCGGTGTGTGTGGCGCTGTGTGTGGTGGAGGTTGCGGTGTGTGTGGCGCTGTGTGTGGTGTGTGTGGCGGAGGTTGCAGTGTGTGGTGTGTGTGGTGGAGGTTGTGGTGTGTGCGGCGCTGTGTGTGGTGGAGGTTGTGGTGTGTGTGGCGCTGTGTGTGGTGGAGGTTGCAGTGTGTGGTGTGTGTGGTGGAGGTTGTGGTGTGTGTGGCGCTGTGTGTGGTGGAGGTTGCGGTGTGTGTGGCGCTGTGTGTGGTGTGTGTGGTGGAGGTTGCGGTGTGTGGTGTGTGTGGTGGAGGTTGTGGTGTGTGTGGCGCTGTGTGTGGTGGAGGTTGCGGTGTGTGTGGTGCTGTGTGTGGTGTGTGTGGTGGAGGTTGCGGTGTGTGTGGTGGAGGTTGCGGTGTGTGTGGCGCTGTGTGTGGTGTGTGTGGTGGAGGTTGCGGTGTGTGGTGTGTGTGGTGGAGGTTGTGGTTTGTGTGGCGCTGTGTGTGGTGGAGGTTGCGGTGTGTGCGGCGCTGTGTGTGGTGGAGGTTGCGGTGTGTGGTGTGTGTGGTGGAGGTTGCGGTGTGTGGTGTGTGTGGTGGAGGTTGTGGTGTGTGTGGCGCTGTGTGTGGTGGAGGTTGCGGTGTGTGCGGCGCTGTGTGTGGTGGAGGTTGCGGTGTGTGGTGTGTGGTGGAGGTTGCGGTGTGTGTGGTGGATGTTGTGGTGTGTGTGGCGCTGTGTGTGGTGGAGGTTGCGGTGTGTGCGGCGCTGTGTGTGGTGGAGGTTGCGGTGTGTGGTGTGTGTGGTGGAGGTTATGGTGTGTGCGGCGCTTTGTGTGGTGGAGGTTGTGGTGTGTGCGGCGCTGTGTGTGGTGGAGGTTGCGGTGTGTGTGGCGCTGTGTGTGGTGGAGGTTGCGGTGTGTGTGGCGCTGTGTGGTGTGCAGGTTGTGGCGTGTGCGGCGCTGTGTGGTGGAGGTTGCGGTGTGTGTGGCGCTGTGTGTGGTGCAGGTTGTGGTGTGTGCGGCGCTGTGTGTGGTGGATGTTGCGGTGTGTGTGGCGCTGTGTGTGGTGCAGGTTGTGGTGTGTGCGGCGCTGTGTGTGGTGGAGGTTGCGGTGTGCGGTGTGTGTGGTGCAGGTTGCGGTGTGTGTGGCGTTGTGTGTGGTGGAGGTTGTGGTGTGTGCGGCGCTGTGTGTGCGGCGCTGTATGCAGGTTGAACACGGAGGTCACGCCGGACGTGGTGTGCCACGCGCTCGCCTTGTGCCGGCGGGACCCTGGAGAGGCGTTCTGCCACGTGTTCCCTCTGCCCAGGGTGGGGCCCGACTCCGCACGACAACAACAGCAGCCTGAACATGCACTCATTGTCATCAACAGCATCACCCACGGTCTCCCCACTGTTTTCATGAAGGCCATCCCACGCCGCCACCATCCCTCGTGGGCGCCTGATCTCGTTCTTGCTCGCGATACGGTTTCATCGCCTCATTTGGCTGCCAACGGCCATCCACCTCTCTCGCCACGACTCGTGCTGCCCAAGTCCACGTGTTTCTCTTACCTTGGGTGCTCCTCTCTCCGTCTCTCGGCGTAATCACCAAGCTGCGTTGCTTTCCGCACTCGGCAACGGCGTCCATCCAGGACAATAAAATGAGCACCGCTTTGTGGGGAACATCCACGGTGGTCGTCCTGCGGAGAGACTCGCCCCCGCCATGGGAATGTGGAATCCCTCCCGCTGGCTTGGCGATGTAAACGGGAGACGTGCACCGCCGTATGTATGATGATCGGAGGTGCGGGGCAAGGACGGCAAACTAAACGTGCGGCGGTGCCCGCGTGAGCGGGACACGGAGCCGTCCCCCCCGCCCCCCCGTCGTCTCATGGCGACCCGTGTCCCCCTGCCCGCCGCCGTGCTGCGTGCAGGGAGGCCTGCACCAGGCCGTGGAGGTGGCGAGACGACTGGCGCCCGGCTCCCCCGTGCCGGTAAGAGGTCGGGGTCACTGGGGGACTGGGGGTCATTGACCGGGTCGTTGGGTCGCCGAGCCACGCAGGCTCCTGTTCTGGAGCCCGGGTGGGCGAGGTTGGCTCGTGATGCCCTGACCCCGCGTCGCCCTGACCCCGCGTCGCCCTGACCCCGCGTCGCCCTTAGGAGAAATTCCTGGAGCTGTCGGGAATCTGCTCCCTCCCCAAGATCCGAGATCTCTGCAAGCTCATTCGGAGGTACGCGCAGCCCCACCAGAGATCTCGACTCCTGACCACAGTCCACTCGCTCCCACACCGCGACCACCACCGCACCGCAGGTCACTCCGCCCACTCACCCACTCCCCCAATGTGTAGGTCCTGACCAAAATGAGCGACTACGTTGTGAAAAGTTACCGGTGCCGCCACTGTATCGGATGGTGATGTTAAGTAGCTCTTGCGTTGATTGGTTGTGTTAGATGTGTCGTGCTCATGAGATGCGCGTGGCGTTCATCAGTCGTGTGTCAATTAGACGGGACTACGAAATTGGCGTCTTGTGTCCGGGTGGCGAGTTGGGGGTCATGACGCCGTGAGTCCGCGAGGATAGATCACGGCCGATGATGATGTATTTGACGCAGGTCCTGGTCTCATCACATCCCAGCTCAAGATGGTGATGGGGACCTCTTCAGCACCGTCCCTGTGAGTGTCCTGAACAAACATCATCGTTAACGTCGTCAACATCGTTAACATCGTCGTCAACATCGTTAACATCGACGTCAACATCGTTAACATCGTCGTCAACGTCGTTAACATCGTCGTCAACGTCGTCAACGTCGTCATCAACGTCGTCGTCATCTTGGAACGCGCACAGCTGCTCGGCAGACACCCACGCTGGCTGTATCCCCGCTGCTCCCCCTCTCGCCCCCCCCCACCCCCCCAGGTGTTCCGCGGCTCCCACTGGCGCGGGAGAGACTGTGTGGACCGCAGCGCAGACGTGCACCCCGGCCGCAGGTGCATACCATCTCACTCCACCTCGTCACCCTCCACCTCCACCTTACTAGGGGCCATCCATCGAGTCCTCACACATGGAGGGGGGAGGAGGGTTATCCCACATGCGTTCGCTTGCGTATGGGGGTCTACACTCTCCATCTTGTTTCAGGCCAAGAAACCAGGACGCCTTCGAGGACTCGAACTGCAACGGCATCTGGGTGAGGAGGATCAGCCCTCGCATCACACTCACCATCACTCACCATCACTCACCATCACTCACCCCACTCACCATCACTCACCATCACTCACCCCACTCACCATCACTCACCATCGCCATCACTCACCATCACCATCACTCACCCTCACCATCACCATCACTCACCCCACTCACCCCACTCACCATCACTCACCATCACCATCACTCACCATCACTCACCCTCACCTTCACTCACCATCACTCACCCCACTCACCATCACTCACCATCACCATCACTCACCCCACTCACCATCACTCACCATCACCATCACTCACCATCACCATCACTCACCCTCACCATCACCATCACTCACCCCACTCACCATCACTCACCATCACTCACCCCACTCACCATCACTCACCATCACCATCACTCACCATCACTCACCCTCACCATCACTCACCCCACTCACCATCACTCACAATCACCATCACTCACTCACCATCACTCACCATCACCATCACTCACCCTCACTCACCCTCACTCACCATCACTCACCATCACTCACCATCACCATCACTCACCATCACTCACCATCACCCTCACTCACCCCACTCACCCTCACTCACCATCACTCACCATCACCATCACTCACCCCACTCACTATCACTCACCATCACCATCACTCACCATCACTCACCATCACTCACCATCACCATCACTCACCCTCACCATCACCATCACTCACCATCACTCACCCTCACTCACCCCACTCACCATCACTCACCCCACTCACCATCACTCACCATCACTCACCCCACTCACCATCACTCACCATCACCATCACTCACCCCACTCACCCCACTTACCATCACTCACCCCACTTACCATCATGGCTCTAACTTGCCATCACCATCACTCACCATCACTCACCATCACTCACCCTCACTCAGCCCACTTACCATCATGGCTCTCACTTGCCATCACCAATACTCCATCCTCACTTACCATCACTCACCATCACTCACCCTCACCCCAGTAGGCAGTAACACCTCTGGGTGGACAATAAGTGTCGTAATATCTGTGGGGAGTGGTGGCATAGTAGTTAGCTCACTGCCCTATAAACCCGGCGACCTTAATTCATGTCACCCTCATCGTCAATAACAGTGACGCTAATCTAAACTGATCCTGGAATCAGCCTGAAATGATTACTTGATGCGGTGTGTAAATATCGCCACTGAGGAGACAAAGGCGGTCGGGCGTGGTGCTGACCACCCACCCAACTATGTGCCATGCCGGCTTGCTAACATCACTTGCCCCAACAGTCTGTTAAGGCTATACGGGCACCTTTGTCTTTGTGTGCGGGGCACAGGGGGTGGACCCGGCAGACGGCGTCGCTTACGAGAAGAAGTTCTGCGAAAGTGAGGAGCGTTCGGCCTCACCCTCACCCTTGACCTGCGCCCCTACCTCTGTGCTCAACCCCTACCTCTGACCCAAGCCTCACCCTTGACCTCAGCCACCAGCCTGACCCCAAACCTTGCCTCTGACCCTGACACCGACCGAACACGAGCGCCATCGGGACAGCGCAGGGCTCAGGGTTTGGGCTGCTATCGTCTCCTTCTGTCGTATGGCACGCGGGGAGGGGGGAGCCACCGTTTGTGTCGGTGTCCGAGTTGAATGCTCAGGGCCTGCAACCAGCGCAAGGCGGCAGGAGACGCCGTGCGCACCGCAGCGAGACCGCCAGGGTGCGTGGCGCGCCCGTCAGTGACGCGTTTGATTAACCTCGGTGGCAGTTTGTCGATTCTGGTGGCGAGGGCATGGTGAGTGTCAGCGTGGCGGCGAGGGTGTCGCGAGTGTGATGCGAGCAGCGAGTGTGGCGCGTGCTCGTGAGCGAGATGCGAGATTGATGACCGCATGGTGAGAGTGGTGGCGAGTGGAGGCGGGGAACGTTGTGGCGAAACGGCGGCGAGTGGGCGTGGCCGGCGTGGTGAGTGGTGGTGGGGAGCGAGCGGTGGCGAGTGTGGTGAGTGGTGGTGGCGAGCGAGCGGTGGTGAGCGTGGTGAGTGGTGGTGGCGAGCGAGTGGTGGTGAGCGTGGTGAGTGGTGGTGGGGAGTGGTGGTGGCGAGCGAGTGGTGGTGAGCGTGGTGAGTGGTGGTGGCGAGTGTGGTGAGTGGTGGTGGGGAGCGAGCGGTGGTGAGCGTGGTGAGTGGTGGTGGAGAGCGAGTGGTGGCGAGTGTGGTGAGTGGTGGTGGGGAGCGAGCGGTGGCGAGTGTGGTGAGTGGTGGTGGGGAGCGAGCGGTGGTGAGCGTGGTGAGTGGTGGTGGAGAGCGAGTGGTGGCGAGTGTGGTGAGTGGTGGTGGCGAGCGAGCGGTGGTGAGCGTGGTGAGTGGTGGTGGAGAGCGAGTGGTGGCGAGTGTGGTGAGTGGTGGTGGCGAGCGAGCGGTGGTGAGCGTGGTGAGTGGTGGTGGCGAGCGAGTGGTGGTGAGCGTGGTGAGTGGTGGTGGGGAGTGGTGGTGGCGAGCGTGGTGAGTGGTGGTGGGGAGCGAGCGGTGGCGAGTGTGGTGAGTGGTGGTGGCGAGCGAGCGGTGGTGAGCGTGGTGAGTGGTGGTGGCGAGCGAGTGGTGGTGAGCGTGGTGAGTGGTGGTGGGGAGTGGTGGTGGCGAGCGAGTGGTGGTGAGCGTGGTGAGTGGTGGTGGCGAGTGTGGTGAGTGGTGGTGGGGAGCGAGCGGTGGTGAGCGTGGTGAGTGGTGGTGGAGAGCGAGTGGTGGCGAGTGTGGTGAGTGGTGGTGGTGAGCGAGCGGTGGCGAGTGTGGTGAGTGGTGGTGGGGAGCGAGCGGTGGTGAGCGTGGTGAGTGGTGGTGGCGAGCGAGTGGTGGTGAGCGTGGTGAGTGGTGGTGGGGAGTGGTGGTGGCGAGCGTGGTGAGTGGTGGTGGGGAGCGAGCGGTGGCGAGCGTGGTGTGTGGTGGTGGCGAGCGAGCGGTGGTGAGCGTGGTGAGTGGTGGTGGGGAGCGAGCGGTGGTGAGCGTGGTGAGTGGTGGTGGGGAGCGAGCGGTGGTGAGCGTGGTGAGTGGTGGTGGCGAGCGAGCGGTGGTGAGCGTGGTGAGTGGTGGTGGGGAGCGAGCGGTGGTGAGCGTGGTGAGTGGTGGTGGAGAGCGAGCGGTGGTGAGCGTGGTGAGTGGTGGTGGCGAGCGAGCGGTGGTGAGCGTGGCGAGTGGTGGTGGTGAGTGGTGGTGGTGAGCGTGGTGAGTGGTGGCGGGGAGCGAGCGGTGGTGAGCGTGGCAAGTGGTGGTGGGGAGTGGTGGTGGTGAGCGTGGTGAGTGGTGGTGGCGAGCGAGCGGTGGTGAGCGTGGCGAGTGGTGGTGGCGAGCGAGCGGTGGTGAGCGTGGCAAGTGGTGGTGGGGAGCGAGCGGAGGTGAGCGTGGTGAGTGGTGGTGGCGAGCGAGCGGTGGTGAGCGTGGCGAGTGGTGGTGGTGAGTGGTGGTGGTGAGCGTGGTGAGTGGTGGCGGGGAGCGAGCGGTGGTGAGCGTGGGAAGTGGTGGCGGGGAGCGAGCGGTGGTGAGCGTGGGAAGTGGTGGTGGGGAGCGAGCGGTGGTGAGCGTGGCAAGTGGTGGTGGGGAGCGAGCGGTGGTGAGCGTGGCAAGTGGTGGTGGGGAGCGAGCGGTGGTGAGTGTGGTGAGTGGTGGTGGTGAGCGTGGTGAGTGGTGGTGGGGAGCGAGCGGTGGTGAGCGTGGCAAGTGGTGGTGGGGAGCGAGCGGTGGTGAGCGTGGTGAGCGGTGGCGAGCGTGGCCGGTGCTGCCCCTCGCCGCAGGTTCTCGGCCGCGTGGCCTCGTGCTCCTGGGGGACTCGGCCGGAGCCCATTTCCACATCCCTGCCGCGTGGATGACCGGGGAACTCCTCTCCCCCGTGAGGCTTCATCATCATCACCAGCAACCCACGTCATCCTTCACTTCACCACCACCATCAACACATCATCATCTCAACCAGCACCACCACCAGCAACCACATCGCACTGTAGACTGTGAGTAACGTGAGGCGGTGAAATTGAGACACTGTGAGATTGTGACAGTGAGATTGTGACACCGTGACACTGGGTGACACTGGTGACACTGGGTGACACTGTGAGGCTGACCGAGTCCCCGTGTCCGTGTGCAGGAGGCGTTCTCAAACCTCCCCGTTGCCCTCGCTAACGAGCTGGACTGGCCACAGCTCTCGGCCTTCACAGGCTTCATGAACTCCAGCTGGGCCTCCATAACGTGAGACGTCAACACGACACGAATGAACGCCGCAACACGCTACTGGTCAACAGAGCAACAACACAACATGACTCAACGCAATACGGCGAGACAACAAAATAACACTTGACTTAACACAACAACACGATAACTCACCATAATACAAACCACAACGTCGTGTGACACAATGTCACATAGCGCAACTCAACACAACGCAACTCGCCACAACATAATTGAACACACCGTGACAACACAACCTGAAGACGCAACGCACCGCGACATGACACGGCACGACACGGTCACGTGAGCTGACGCGACAAGGCGCGGCGGCACGGCTAACAGCGCGCCCTCGTCACGGCTAACAGCGCGTCCTCGTCACGGTGTGCGCCGTACCAGGTCCCCCACGGACTCGTTGTACCTGCGGCTGAGGGAGAGGAACCGGTGCAACCACAGAGACCTCCAGAACCTTGCGGTGAACGGTCAGTGTGTGTCACATGGGGTGGAGGAGCCAATATCACAGTCTCACTGTGTCAGTGGCACCATCGCAGTCTGTGTCACTCTCACAGTGTCACCCTCACAGTATCACTCTCACGTCTTCGTGCTCTTGCGATTTACAAACCTCGCGGCCTCGCGGTGGCCAGGTCGTGAGGCCACGGTGGCCAGGTCGTGAGGCCGCGGTGGCCAGGTCGTGAGGCCGCGGTGGCCAGGTCGTGAGGCCGCGGTGGCCAGGTCGTGAGGCCGCGGTGGCCAGGTCGTGAGGTCGCGGTGGCCAGGTCGTGAGGCCACGGTGGCCCGGTCGTGAGGCCGCGGTGGCCAGGTCGTGAGGCCGCGGTGGCCAGGTCGTGAGGCCGCGGTGGCCAGGTCGTGAGGCCGCGGTGGCCAGGTCGTGAGGCCGCGGTGGCCCGGTCGTGAGGCCGCGCCGACCCTTTCGCTCCGCCTTGCAGCCACCGGCACAACGGGGGGCAGCGCCCCCCATGGTGCGGACAACCGTTTGCCGGGTGGTGCCGATCAGACCGACGCAGCGCCGGTTTAACGCGGCGCGAACGCGAGAGCCGAGGAGAGCGCTCTGGATCCCGTGGCCACGTCCTGGCCCGTTACACCCGACTCCAGGCCACCCCGGCTCGCCGGGGCCTAGCGGGCGAAGCAAGGCGCCTGACCCCCGCGTGACCTCCACGTGACCCCCGCGTAACTCGTGGCCCCGGTGTGTCGAGTGCAGGAGCCGCGTCCTCCACCGCCAAGGACTCCCTGACGAGGTGAGGGGATTCTCCGGGGAGCCGGGGTGATGAGGGAGCCGGGTAAATGAGGGTCCGGGTTCATGAGGAGCTGGCAATTTTGTGCTGCACTGGAAGGCGGTGGTGTTGACGATGATGGAGGTGGTGTTGACGATGATGGCGGTGGTGTTGACGATGATGGCGGTGGTGTTGACGATGATGGAGGTGGTGTTGACGATGATGGCGGTGGTGTTGACGATGAAGGCGGTGGTGTTGACGATGATGGCGGTAGTGTTGACGATGATGGTGGTGGTGTTGACGATGATGGTGGTGGTGTTGACGATGAAGGCGGTGATGTTGACGATGATGGCGGTGGTGTTGACGATGATGGTGGTGTTGACGATGATGGTGGTGGTGTTGACGATGATGGTGGTGGTGTTGACGATGATGGTGGTGGTGTTGACGATGATGGTGGTGGTGTGACCTCACGGGCTCTGTCTCACTCAGTGCGCTGCTTCTCTCCTCGCAGCTTCTCCCGGAACGAGAGCGACCACCCGGCCCTCCTCGTCTACTCGTTCATCGGCAACGACGTCTGCAACAAGTGACGCCCCCTCCCCCCTCCACTCCCCCCTCCTCCAGCAGCTGCATTGCTCAAAACTGTCACCTCCGTGCGTGAGCGATCACCGCGTGCGTGCGTGCGTGAGCAGCGCCCGGGACACGGTGGCTGCGATGACGACGCCGGAGGAGATGCGAGAGAACGCCCTGGCCGCCCTCGCGGCCCTCGACAAGGCCCTGCCGCCCGGGAGCCACGTCCTCCTCACCGGCCTGGCCGACGGCCGCTTCCTGTGGGACCACCTGCACGGTCGCCTGCACCCCGTCGGCGAGTGCCGTCACACGGTGGCGCTCGGCGCTCGGCTCGGAGTCCCGAGCGCCGCCCGCCGCCCTTTGTCGCAGCCTGGAGCGCGCGTCCCCCCAGGGCCAACGGGCCCCGGGGCAGTTGCACCGCCTGTACCCTCGACAGATATGCCACTACCGTGGGTGCTGCCCTTCACATCTCATGGGCGCTGTTCCTATAACTCGTAGGTGCTGCCCCCTGCACCATCAGGGAATTATAATTCAAGTGCCACCCCCCCTCCCCCCCACAGCTCATTGATCCAAATCCCCTTACATGTGGTGTGCGGTCACCGCGGCGGCGGTAGTGGTTGTGGTGGTGATGGTCGTGGCGGCGGTAGTGATGACAGTGGTGGTGGTGGTGATGGTAGGGGTGGCGGTATGGTGGTGGTGGTGAGGGTAGGGGCGGCGGTAGTGATGACAGTGGTGGTGGTGGTGATGGTAGTGGCGGCGGTAGTGATGACAGTGGTGGTGGTGGTGGTGGTGATGGTAGTGGCGGCGGTAGTGATGACAGTGGTGGTGGTGGTGATGGTAGTGGTCGTTGTGGTGTTGGTGTTGGTCGTTGTGGTGATGGCAGTGGTGGCGGTGGTGGTGGCGGTGGCGGTGGTAGTGGCGGTGGTGGCGGTGGTGGTGGTGGCGGACTGTTTTCCGGTGTCGGCCACCCCTGATGTGTGGCTCCTCGTCTCCGTGCAGGGCTGTGGAACGGCGACGTCACCTACGCCGATGCCTACGCCTTCCTCGACTGCCTGCAGGTGAGCGTCATGCGGGCAGCCGCACGGCCTACGCGGGGCGTTTGCATTCTCGCTAATTTCGGTGTGGGGGAGGGGGCAATGTGGGGGGGCGGCGTGGGCGGGGCAGCGTGGGGGGGGCGGCGTGGGGGGAGGGGGGCGTGGGGGGCGGCGTTGGGGGAGGCGTGGGGGGGGGCCCGAGCACGAGTGGTGACACTGCCGTGTGCTGTGTGCAGCTCAGCCCCTGCGCCGGGTGGATGAGCGCCAACGTGTCCCTGCGTGACGCCACCTCCGAGGTGAGCGCCACGCACGGAGACCGCACCGCTCACAACCATTAACTCGTCGTCGTCGCCGCAAAGCCTCGCCGAGTCTCCAGCCTCCTTCAGGAGAGTCCTGTGAAGCGGCCGATGTTGTTGCTGTGCGTAGCCCCGATGCAGTAGGTTGCAGGTGATGCGTCAGGGTTATTTGGCCAATACCGGTCACATTGTGTGTGGGTGCAGAACAGGCAGAGAACGTACAGACTACACAGCAAGGTGGTGTGATGTTGTGTTGTGTTGCTGGCTATGTGGTGTTGTGTTGTGTTGCTGGCTATGTTGTGTCGTGTTGTGTTGCTTGCTATGTTGTGTTGTTGGGCTGTGTTGTGTTGTGTTGCGGGCTGTGTGGTGTTGTGTTGTGTTGCTGGCTATGTTGTATTGTGTTGTGTTGCTGGCTATGTTGTGTTGTGTTGTGATCTGACCGTCGCTGCTGTCAGAGAGCGCAGCAGCTGTCGTCGGTGTTGGAGAAGATTTCCGCAACTCGCAGCTTCAGCAACTTCGACGCTCACTACGTGGAGTACCCACTCGCCAAGAGTGAGCACAAAGACAAAGATCCCTCGTAGAGGATTAACATATTTTTGCTTTTAGTGAGCACCTATGAAGGCCGGCAAGATACTCGAGGGGGTGGGTGGCCAGCACCATGCCCGGCCGCCTTTGTCTCCCCAGTTATAATGTTTACACGCCACATCAACGACGTATTTGAGGCGAAGTCGACCAAGGGGAGACCCAGGACCGGTGCAGATACATTTCACCGGTGTTGGCCACGAGCGGGAACCGAACTCGGGTCGCCTGTTTGGTAGCGCAAAGCGCAAAGCGCGTGACTGCCGCTCCCCACGCACTCACGCGGACACGCGCGTGTCAGAGACTGACGTACACGAGGGCCGTTACTGCCCCTCGCGTGACTTGATCTTTACTGAAGCCGTCCACGTGGGAACTGGGGGATTGGGCCACGACGTTCAATGGAAGGGGAGCGTTGGTGGGGCCGCGGCAGGGTCCCTGTCGTGTGAATCGCTGCTGCTTAGAAAGACCGGGGGCCACTGCCAATCAGTAACCCCAACTCTAAAGCCCAACACGAACCCCTAACCTGAACCATAACCTCAACCTTATCCCCATCTCAACCCGAACATAGATCCCTAAACCAATACTGAACCTCTCACTCCAACCGTAATCCTATCTTTAACCCTCTTCTCAAAATTATCCATAATCCTAGCTCCATCCCTTACCTACAGAGTATCCCTAACCCTATCTATGTCCAACACTCTTCCTTATCTAACGCAATCCAATCCATAAAAAAATCCTAACTCCTAACCCAAATCCTAACCCTATTCAAAACCACAACTATGTCCCAAACATCACCCCAGATCTGATCCGAACTAACCCCAATCCATGCCCCCCCTTGCTTCCATCCCCATGCACCGGCTTGCGACGCCGTTAACACTGTCGCGGCCGCGAGCCCACAACAACAGCAGCAGCCCCGTCGTCGTTATTGTTGTTGTTGTTGTTGTCGTTGTTGTTGTGGTGGGCTCGCGGCAGCGTCTCCCTGTGGCGCCAGGGCTGGGCCGTGGCGTGGGGACCCCAGACGTGCCCCCAGACGTGCCCCCAGACGTGCCCGTCTGTGCCAACGCCGGCGTGTCGAGGTGGCCACGCGCGTGCGACCACCCAGCTCCTGAGACCCGTTTACCGATCGAGACCTTTGCCCCGACCCCGCCGAGCGTCCGCGCCACTAACGCCCGGTGCCGATCTCTCGCAGTGGCCGAGGAATGGGTGCGGAGGGGCGGGGAGGCCTGGCAGCTCATCGAGGCCGTCGACGGATTCCACCCCGACCAGGTGGGGGCAGCAGCGCACGCGAGCCGAGAGGAGGCGCGGTGCGTGCCGGAGGCGCCCTTCGTGTGCGCCGTGCCGGCCTCCTCAAGAGGCGCTCCCTGACAGCACTGTCCCTAGCAGTGTGTTGAATGCCCCGTGGTGTGAGGGGGAGCACAGGTGGTGTACGACTGGCAGTCTTCTCAGGCGCTCAACCCATGACCTCTTGCACCTAGCCTGGCACATCAGTCAATTCCTAGCACCTGGGTCTGTCCCATGACCCTCTAACCAGGAGCGAGCTTTCGACACGTCACGTGAGAGCCTCAAAGTGCACCTCGCCTGGCACAAGTGCTGTGGTAACATAATCACCACCGAGTGGCCAACGGCAGTTGTTGCCGTTGCATTGTTTTGTGTGCGCGCGCACACGCACGCACACACGGGTGTGTGCGTGTAGTTGTGTTAAATAAGTGCAAGTGATTTGCTGCTCAAACGAGCATTCAATGCGAAGCTCATCTCTTCTCTATAGCCCTGAGGCAGTGGTGAAAACTCGAAATGCCTATTACAGGGGCGAGTTCATCTGAAAGTGATTTTCCCTGAGCGTATGCCCCAAGAGCACTTGTACGGAGATTGTGTGCAGGGTGCTTATTGAGAGTACGCGTGTACCGGAGGTGTGCGTACACATGTAGAGTATACATATTGCACATTCTCAGAGTAGGCAGAGCCCGCGTGTACACGTATGCGCTGTGCGCACGTCCCCGTGTGCACCGAGAGCGCGCACGCTGCAAGGGCACCGCACTTGTGCCGGGTCCGTGTCCGTGTCTCGCAGACGGCCCTGGCGCTGATGGCCGGCATCCTGTGGGACGAGATCACGCAGCGCTGGCCCGACGTCCTGGGCCCCGAGAACCCTCACAACGCCGACATCGCCCGCGTGTTTGGCGACCAGGGTGGCCACTGAGCCACCGCGTGAGCCAACGCGGCGGAGCTGCACGCGATTCACGGTCTCTCAATTCCACGATCGACGACCTCCACGTGGAGCCACCCTGGAACCCCAGGCAATCGGGGTTTACTCCCACGCGGCTTCACAAAAGGAGGACGGCTGTCCTTGGCTGAGATTGATTTATACATTTTAATAACTATCAGTAAGCCTTACATTTAAAATAGGATCAGGAAGTGGCCTACATGATGACAGCATGCCTCCTGCTCTGAGCTTTGTCTCATTGGTATAACTGATCGCTCATAATTCTTTCATTGATTTAACCTCTGGTGTGATTCTCTTGGTTCACCATGATTGGCCAAAAAAGCCTATAAATCGTCCGGTGCAAGTTAAGTGAATTTGTGTGACCAGGTGATAACTCAAGAGACCGGGATGCGTCTCATTTACAAGGATGACCTGGTGGGACAGAAAAGGAGGAAGGCAGCGAGGTATTGCAGCCTACGGCCATCGTCGGGATGCGCTAGTATGAGTCCGTCAGCATTTTCTGCTTCTGCACCGCCCGGAAGCTGGCATCATCGGAACGATTACCGAGAATGACGCCGGTAGAAGTATGGTCGCCGGTACTCCTCGAGCATCACCGTCATGGTTGCCGTGTGTCCATCCTCCCAGCTGGGCTGCTGTCAACTTTGTGTCCGTTGGAGCCGGCGGTGACACAGCGTCCCACCACCGTGTTGCAGCCACTTCCATGCGTCGGCCTGGCCGCCCACCGCCGGCACGCTCGGCACCGCCACCGCAAAACACAGACGTGAAAACGACCGCCCAGCAGATGTGTCCTCAAACGCAGGGCGAGGCCTCTCCGGGCAAATGCGAACTATGCGAGGAATGCCGTGCGGTTCACGACGGGCAGAGGTCGCGGGCCATTAACAGCAGCACTTTGAACCCAGCACCGCCCCCGTCCCACGCGGCCGTTAACGCAGAACCCGTAAATGCAGAACCGCTAACGACCACTTCCAAGAAAGAGGGGGGCCGTTTCCTCCTGGTGTGATTAGATGGGGTGGGGGGTGGGAGGCTGTAAAGGGAGCGCCTAACTTCTGCTGAATTGGATGCGTACGGAATAGAGAGGGGGAGGTAGAGAAGGTGGAGGGAGGTTGAGCAGGGATGGATGGAGGTCAGGGTGGACATTGTGTCCACGTCACGTGTTGCCCTTCACCGGCTCGCGCTGGGCGGCCCCTCGCGCACATCCTGGGGCTCCCAACCCATCACAGGTGCACATTTCAAATGTATTTCGAGGTGCACGATAAGTACAACACAACACACCGTTGGTTATGATTACAGCAGCAATTTATTATAAAATGATTATTTGTACAGGACTAAATTGCACCAAATGTGTACAGAAAACCATGGAGAGAATATACTTCATGCTGCGCAAAGTGGCTTCAGAGAGAACTCCTTGCTATGATGCTGCCACAAGTGGGGAACGCACACTCGGACAGCCCCACACACACACGCACCGGCCCACAGGGTAGGTAGGTCAGGGGTGGGGACTGTGAGGTGCAGGGCTTGGAGTTCAGCATTTGGGGGTTCATCGATTCTCGGTTACAGTTGGCAGGGTTCTTGATTGGAGATTCAGGGTTCAACATTGAGGGGGTGTCAAGAACGAGGGGGTGTCAAGAACGGGGGGGGGGGGGGGGTTAGGAGAGTTCAGGGATTAGGGTTCAGGTTGAGGAAGTCAACGATTTGGGGCTTCAGGGTTGGGGTTTAGTGGGAGCTGTGCCAGGGGCTGCAGCTTCTGCCTCGTGACAAGCCGCTGGTGCAGCTCCTGCACACTGCAGCTTGTGCAGTGTGCAGGAGCTGCACCAGCGGCTTGTCGCGAGGCTCACCGCCCGTGGTTCCACGTGGATCTCCCCATGACCACTGCTCCCCCCTGTACTGCGTTTATATTTGTAAGGCTGCTCATAATACGTTTACCGTGGATTCACGTTAACGTACCCTTTTTATTTAAAAGTTTAGAGCTAAATTTTTCAGACACTGTCGCATTTTAAAGCCATATTTTATGATTAGTTTCATTGTAAATCTCATCGCTTTAGTTCTTTGTTATTTCTATTCCAACACGCGTTACAAGTCTTACGAGTGAAATAACCGAGTTCCCAGCCCCCCGGCTCACTGCGGTCGCTACAATCACCACGGGGTTCCGCTCCACCAAGCCGCGCTGGCGATCGCGCCGCAAGCACCGGTGCCGCGGCCAACTCCACGGCGCCGGCTCCACTGCCGCCAACGCGAACCGCCGGGCCCCAGGTACCGTGTAACGATCTGGCGGCGTGGGAGACTCGGAGCCGCGAGTTTACTGACGGAAAACGATCACGACAGCATTTACAATGCTCGCGAGGTTCGTCTCACAGGGCCTGCGTCACGGCCCCTCTCTCGCGGGGAGCTGCGCGTCTCGCAAGAGGACACCACGTACGAAGACATGCGCTGGACACGAAGGAGACCACGGACTTGTGTAATACGGACGGATTATTCCCATTAAATAAACGCCTACCTGCTACACGTCTACTTGATACATAGAACCGAGGGGACTGAAAATCACTGCACATTAATCTACCTTTACAGTCAAGGCTATGATAATTATCTTCACCTACCTATAAATTCACTGGCTGTACACCCACAATACATTCATCATCCCAAATGGTTTTAGAGCAGAACACTTGTCGGAAGAAACCAAAGAATTATTTTTTTGGAGAAACGTTTTACGTGTTCTGCAAATCACGCAGACCCCAGTCTTGCGGGTTTCTTTACCTGAGACGTTTTGGGTTCTTTTCTGTTTTAACAGACTTGAGAAATGCCTTTAACAGCAACGCACGCTGTGACTTCTGTTGATCAGAAAACATGTGGGTCTTGGACCAGCACATTTCCAAAGAGGTCTGTGTTGATATATATAGTTACATTATTGTATTATTCTTGTGCTTAAAAACGAACTTAACAAATAACAAATTAAGCCATCGAAAAGAATTTACTCCTCACACGGCAAAAGCTGCGACCATCGGAGCAAACGTCAGCCAGTCTCCATTGCCACACGGCGGTGGCAGCGGCACAAAGCCAAAGCCCCTGTCCATGCGCAGCACGATCCAACCAGGCTTGACGCACCAAACGCCAAACCAGCCATGCTCCGCTCGCTAAGGTTTTTGGTGAGCGCTTGGTAAAGCTCTGAGCAGGACCTTCATGGTCAGTGGCTGCCAGCGCTGACAAATCTACTCGGCTCCTGGCCACGGACGCTGCAGCTGCTCCATTCGCTGGTTTCCAAACACCGGCACCGCGCGTGCCGTCGAACCTCTGTCACGGTCCGCGCTCACGGCCACAGAGTCCGGCCGCACTTTTGGTTTGAGGTCACGGGGACGCCGCGGTCCGGCTGGGTAGCGACCTCGGGTCATGGCCGCCGGGCCCACGACCGTCACCGAAGGTCGGAGCGCCCCACCGGGGATGTGACGTGACTCAGGGGCGCAACTGAGGCATCCGCCGGCACGCCTTCGCCACGAGCGGCCGCGAGGGAGAGACATGTGTGACGTGACGTTGGTCACCAGATCAACGAGAGCGAGTGTCATCTTTTCCTCCGACGCAGGAAACCGGTCACGGCACTCCAGTTTCCAGCGGGGACATTGAGACCGACAGAATTAACGCCGCTGGCCAGTGAGAGTACGTGGGACAGGACTGCAGGACTCCACAGTACACACACAGGGCCCACAGTACACACACAGTACACGCAGGGGCCCACAGTACACACACACAGTACAGACAGGGGCTCACATTACAGAGGGCCCTGCAATAGCCACAGGGTTCCTGTAGAACACGGTAGAACTACGGGGCCCCACAGAACAAGCAGTACACACCAGGGCCTGCGGAATGTGGCGTACAAAAACACGAATTGATTATGGTGCAACACAGTGGGTGACGACAACAGGACGTGATTTCGCCTCGCTGTGCAATCACTGCTCGCATTGCCACGTGTGTTCACCGTGAGGTAGAGGGTGGAATGAGGCGACGATGACGCAGAACGGATGAGGTAGGTGGATCGGTGGCGGTGCCAAAGGCGCCGCTTGGGGGGGGTGGGGGGTGGCGACGAGGCTGGCACACGGGGGCGAGGGCGATAGCGCCCGACCCTGGTTTGACTGCCCTGAGCGTGACAAGCGGGGGGGCGGGGGGAGGTACACTCAGGCCCCCCTGCTCCTCCCCGCGAATGCCCACCATAAATACTGCACGCGGCGTGACGCGGGACGCTCCGCCAGTGATATGTGCCGCGGGGGCGGCTACGAAAGTGAAATTGGGCTGAGACGCAACAACCGTTTCGACTGTAAACGCCGCCCGCCGGGTGCTGGGGCGCGCCCATCACGGCGGCGCTACGATCCAACCGAGAGAGAGAGTTGCCCGCAAACGGCAACAACGTGGGCACAGCCAAATAATGCACGGCTGGCGATTCCACGGTTGAGAGAGTCGAGCGGTCGACATTCAAGGAGATGGCGGAACAAGGCCGGTGTTACCGTACACCACCGCGAACGGGAAGTCGTAAAACGTGTCCCGGGAACGCGGCAACGAACATGCGCGGCCGACCAAGGGTGAGGAGGGGTGGGTAGCGGCGAGCGAGCGAGCGGCGAGGCCGGCGGGGAGAGTTTAAGGCAGAGACCGGTTCTGAACGGGCGGCACCCGAGGCTCTCCGGGGCGGCGCGGGAGGAGAGCGACGGAGGTAGATCATTGATGGCGGCCGCTCAGCCCCGTGGCTGGCACGGAGACGAGCCCAGGGACGTGGGTTCAGCGAGACGGTGCCGCACTGCGGGCGCTTTGAGGTAAAACAAAACAGCTTTCAAAAGACGAGCGGCCGGTTGCATTCAAAGTGTTTTTCATGCAAAACTTCCACCATCAATGCCAAACCAAGGGGACATTCCACTCGAATTGTTTCTGCAATCGGCCAGTCTAGCTACTACTAACTGTACAATCCTGTAGCTCTATAAACATGTCGGTACGACCCATGCTGGCATACACGACGGTTAAGCACGAAGTGGTTTTAACGCCACGGCGTGGGAACGAGCGGCGCTCGCGCAAGACGGCGGCTTCAAGCCGACGGTGAACGACGTCGGGGCCTGTCGGAGCAGTTCCACCCGTGGCGCCACCGCTACCCCCCCCCCCCACCGTCATCGCTGCCGGCCGAGCCCTGCCAGCCAGCACGGCTTCCGCGCGTCGCGTCCGTGTAGGGTATAAATAAGGTCAGTAGTCTGCGAGCGATCGACAGTGTTTGAGGTACAGCGAGATAAATAAGAGATAAATACAGCGACACTGTCGTCTCCAATGTCCATGCTGTTGCTGCTGCTCGCGGCGAGGTAGCTCAAACGGTCCCAACGCGAGCGCAGCGCCGCCGCGTACATTCTCACCCAACCCTCGCCACCGCGGGGGCTGCCCAGCCTCGTCTCATCCCTTGGCAACTAAAGAACACAATCAGCAAGGCAGAAAATGGAAGATAATGCAGCCTTGGGAAATAAAAAATATATATTTCAGACTAAAGCTAGCGGGAAGGTTAGGGGTGAGCATATTAAAGCTATCCGTCATAGACAAACGGCCGGCAGAGGTGAGAGCAGAGTGGACGGGTTCAGAGCGGGGCTCACCCTGGCTCCACCCTGGCTCCACCCTGGCTCCACCCTGGCTCCACCCTGGTTCCACCCTGGCTCCACCCTGCCCCTGGAGCCGCGGTGGCCCCGGGCAGCTCCAGTGCACACGTCAAGGCTCTAGGAATGGAAATTCAAGTTTCATAAAGACTAACTGAGCTGGGCTGCATCATTATTGAGAGTAAACAGCGAAATATTATTGCAAAAGGAGATCGGTTTTACAAGAGGGAGCTTTCTGTGTCTTTACACGCAGCAATCCCACTTTGAAAACAACGAAAAGACAAGTCGTGCCCGGTCTTGTCGTGTAACTGTCACGATCCCGCTAGCCTTGACTGAGATAAACGCAAAAGCCGAGTACGTGACCGTACGCAGAGACACTGAGACAAAGTAAACCGTGAAGCGCTCGTAAAGCACTGACAGGCTGATGAGGCAACAGAAAAGTGAGGTAGATAGATCTCTAGCGGATGGCTCACGGGGACACGAGCGGCCTGCTGGCGCCGGGCGCCAACGACGTGTCGCCGTGTGCCGCGATGGCAGCGCGTGCATGCGGGGGGGGGGGGGGGGCGTGCGTGCGTCGCTCTGCCACGCGTGCGCGCCGCACGCTCTCTTTGGTCAGCTGAGGTAGCTTGCATGTGATGCCAACGATTCCTTCCTACTGTCTCGGACAGAACGCTTTCCCTGAGGGACCTTGTGTGTGGTTTTCATCATACATTCAGTGAACATTTAGAGGTTTTTTTTAAAATTAAATTTCTGTGCAAATGGCGTTGGCCTGAACACACGGACACCGGAGAACCACCCTGGGTGCTCGTGGGCGCGGGGCTCGCGTGGACGCCGGGTAAACGCGGGCACAAGGAACACCAGGGACACGTGAACACAGGACAGGGCTTGATTTCTCAATGAATACTGTCCGGTTCGCAGACACGGACACGCCGGATCGCTGAAATCCAGCCCTGGCACCTGGTGCACACGATCGCCAAGGTTCGCCTGGAATCACAGGGCACCAGGGATGCACGAACGGCGTGGTGCCAGTCGTGTTGTGGCCACCCGGAGGGGTCGCAGTTTACCGAGCGAGCGAGCAAGCGAGCTCCTATCGCTCGTTTATCCTACTCGCGTCTCGTTTGTCGTGTAGCGTCGCCGCTGCCGTCACGAGGGCGCCGACGATAGCCACGAGACACCACGTCGTGGGCGTCCGGGCGGAACGGTCGGCCGCCCCGGTGCGGCATTCCCCGCGAGTCCGCTCGCCACCGCTTGGTGGCCTCAAAGTGCTGATTTGAAACACGGCAGCCTTTGTGTCGCCAACACGGAGAGTGATAAATGGACAGCTCTGGGCTTTCTAACACAAGCGACTTTAAACGCCCGCGTGTAACGGGGGCCAAGTTCGTCTTCTCAGACTGCCGCACGGACGGGACACGAAAACCTCGAGCGAGGAGGGAGAGAGAGCGCGCCGCGCGGACCGTGTACCCCGCGCATAGACCCCCGACGCCGACGCCTGTGGCTGCAAAGCAAAACCCATGGGGCGGCACTGCACGGCCGCTTGTGCTTTTACGATACCAGGCCACCGAGCCTCACACAAGCAGGCACTTCAGTGACCCTTCGCTAAACGTAAACACGGTCAATCGGATTCAATTCAAGGATGTATAAAGCGTAGTTTTCTGAGAAAATTCCGTGTCCGTGAAGAGAATTCGGAAACGCGAACAGTATTACTGCCCCGTTTGTTCACAATATTCATAATTTACTTGAATTCGCAGAGAGAGTAAAACTGCGTCTCTAATGAATCCCCCTATGTCTATGCCGTGCATGCTCCACGTACGCCCGTGTACCGCGTGCAATTTGATTGACAGGCCGACCGTGTCGTGAAGGCGGTCACGGCAGACACCGGCCACCATGCGGGTTTGCTTTGCGAGCGAGGCACCCCGCCGGCCTAGTACACCACCACGCGATTGTTCCCGAAGTCGACAACCACTATGAGGCCCTCGGGAGTGACGGCCACGCCCGACGGCCGGTCCATCTGACCGGGCCCGCCGCCCGGCGCTCCGAACTGGCACAGGAAGGCGCCGTCCGGCTCGAACACCTGCACGCGGTGGTTTCTCGAGTCGGCCACGGCGATGCGGCCTTCGGGGTCCACGGCCACGCCCTGCGGCCGCAGGAACTGGCCGGGCCCCGAGCCGGAGCCGCCCAGGAAGCGCGCCGAGCGGCAGTCGGGCCGCACCACCAGCAGCCGGTGGTTGTTGAAGTCGGTGACGAGGAGGCGGCCCTCGGCGTCGAAGGCGACGCCGCGCGGCGAGTCAAAGTGCTTCCAAAGCGCACCTTCGAAACCGTACTTGTTGACAAAGGCGCCGTCGGGCGAGAATAGCTGAACGCGGTGGTTGCGCGTGTCGGACACGAGGACGAGGCCGTCGCCGGGGCTCACCGCCACGTCCCACGGGTAGCAGAACTGACCGCTCTCGCTGCCGCGCTCGCCGAACGTGGAGAGCACGCGACCTTCGCCGGAGAAGATCTGCACGCGGTGGTTGTCCTTGTCCGACACCACGATGCGGCCGCCCCGGCCTGGGTCCCAGGCCACGCCCGCCGGGCGGTCGAACTGGCCGGGGTGGGAACCGTGGACGCCGAACTTGAAGAGGAAACCTCCGCTGGGACCGAACACCTGCAAACGCGCGACAGGGTTACGCGATCATTTTGCCGCACGCGCGTTCGGCACAGATCGGGCACGATTCGAAGCAACGCGGCGTAGCCGTGCCGGGACTGTCGGGGCCGTACCTGGATGCGGTCATTGCTCCTGTCGGCGACAATCACACGACCCTCGCTGTCCACGCACACCCCCCACGGACGGCACAGCTGACCGTCCCCCGTGCCGCCACCTACGGCGCACGGGCGACAATGGCGATGCGACCGGAGCGGTTAGGACTCGCGAGCTCAGGGGAACGCGGCACACCGTGGACCTGCCGGGCTACGGGACAAAAAGAGAGGACAAATAACAAACGACTTTCCCGTGATATTCACACTGAGGGTGCGTGTCTCCTTGGAAACTCAACACGAGTTTGAGACTTCTCTCATGAGAAAATCACTTTAGAGTGACGCTCACGGTCTGCGTGTCCCAGGCTGCGCAGCGCACACTTGCCACTCCAAGATGGGATCTCACCGCCATACGTAGCAACGTGACTATGGCGCAGTGAAGGAGCGCCTGATGGCAGGTATTCATTTCTCCCCGAGTATACAACCCGACCTGATGGCTCAGCGCACGGGTAAGCGGGTCGCTATCTGAAGGTTGAGAGTCCAAATCTTACATACGGGGCTCTATAAAATGAGTGAATTATCCGATGGCCCAAACTACCCACGCCATATGAATGTTGAATCTTTGCGACTGGTTTAGGTCTGTAAGCAGGAGATGAGCACTGCCTCAACGCTCATGTGAGTAGCAGGAGCTCACTTTGGTATACTGGAGTGGATCTTGAGACAGCGGGACGAGGTGGTGTGCCGGCATTGGAAACGTCTTCTGATCACCGACCTCGACAGACGCGGATTAAATTAGGCCCTGCCTGGCTGTGTTTCACCATAGTGAAGCTTCAAAGTCGTAAAGGACAGACGTAGGGCTAGAGACTCAGTTACAAGATCCTGGTTCCCCTCCGATCGGCCGCGCATCCCTCACCTCCGAACGCGATGGCCGGTTTGCCGATGCCGGCGTAGCTGCGTCCGGGCCGCACGAGCACGCGGAAGGGGCTGCCTTCGACGTGCCGGCCCAGCACGGTGACCGACACGGTGTGCTCGCCGTCGGCAGCGGGCCGGTAGCTCACGCCGTAGGTGCCATCCTGCTTGTCCCGTACCTCGGCCCACGCCGCGCGCCCGTCCGGGCCCAGTGCCGCGGCGCACACGGGGTCCCCGCCCGTGCGCCGGAACTCCCCGCCGTGGTCACGCGTCACCACCGTGAACGACGCCAGGCGCCCTTTGACCTGCAAGCAGCGGCGCCAGCGGCCGCCCCGGCGACATCGAGTCTCAGGCGAGAGGTGCTTGACACGACGGCCCCTGGGGGGGGTTTCTCTTTTACAGTTGCTGAGCACAGGTCCAAACGTCAAATGGCCAGCAACAAACAGCACTATGAAAGTTGCAATGGAAAAGAGACAAATGGCAGGGTGGGGGGGAATTCCACAATGGAGCAGTGTGAGGGTAAAAAGGCAGCAAGAGACCTGCAGTGGTGATTGGGGGTAGCGAGTGAATGAGAGAGTGGGTGGTTGCGTGGATAATTGAGCGAGCGATTGAGTACGCAAGAGTTGGCAAGTGTGTTGTTGTGACCTACAGTTTGGTAGTTAAACACAGTACGAATGAGACGACAACATTAGTGGAGGAATCAAGTTCACAGGAACAGTAGCCATGGTCGTAGTGATTGGAAAGTAATGGGCCAGTAGCGCCGACAGCTGCGTCCGGGTCGTCTGTATAGTACGACCATGAAGGGCGTCGATGTCACGTTAATAACACAAATAACTTCACACAATCCCCGACACGTACCTTCAGCTGGGATGGGGGCAGTCAACCCCAGCAGGCAAACTACGCGAGCTGCAGGGTCTGTTGTGATGATGAAGGTAGGCCCTAGCCATTAGAGGTTAAGCCAACACCGAGCACTGCTCTGTGATGAGGAGCGGTCCCAGTGTACGCTGAGTGGGCCGTCGAGGTTGGGGTCATTTGAACACGACTGCGATTGAAGGACCTGCCAAGTTTTCGCAGTAAGGGGGGATGGAGCTGTGTGTGTGCGATCCCAATTGAGTAAATTACAGGTAACTTGTCAACATTGGGATGTTTGGCCAATACAAGTTACACTGGATATTCCTTTAGCGATGGGAGGAAACTGGAAAACCCAGAGGTAAACCATGCAAAACAGCAGAAACAAACTCTACACAGAAAGGTGCCCGAGTAGGGAATCTAACCCAGGCCCATCTTGCCTTGAAGTGCGAGCGTGACCCCTGCGTCACCCTGCCGCCCTGTGAACTGACGAGAGTAAATTCGCAAACACGTGACTGGACAACAGGCTCTGTTACGAGTACGTGTGCAGAGGCTCCGTACCACTTTGGTGAGGCCCTCCCCAGCCACGGTGGAAAGCTCGGGGCAGGCCCCGCTCTGCACGGCACCCAGCGTGCGGATAGCGGCGTAGAGCGCCGCGTCGGGCGGCACGAACACCACACGGTCGTCCTCTTGCGGCTGCTGTGGGGGCGAAGGGGCTCCGGCGGCGCCCAGCCCCACGATGTCCCGAAGCTGGGCGGCCACGCGGGCCCGCACGGCCCCGAGGGCCTCGGCATCCGCCCCGGCCTCCAGGGCGGCGCGTACGCTCTCCACGGCGGAGTCGAGTCGCGCCAGGCTCTGCCGCAGCTCCTCCAGTTGCCTCTGCAACGTCTGCGTCTTCACCTGGCGGATCTTTTCGACCTGCGCGTGGCCGGGACCGGACGCCCATTTCTATGATGTGGAATCCAAGCAGCTCGTCCTCATACGTACGGCACGTTACTTATCCGCAAATCTTATAGATGCTATGTGTAACCCAGCTCTTATCTCGTAGATGTTAACGTTTCAAAAGCCTTACTCAGTGGAGCTCTAGAAGAGATCTCATAACGTGCACCACTATGGGTCGACTTCAGTAATAGAACAGGAGACGGTAATGCGTGGACGGTGCGAGTTTTCACAAGGGCATGCGCAAAGCCAGAGGAGGCGGCACGTCTGCGCCTGCGCGGTGCTACCGGCGGCGCTCTCCCACCTTCCGCAGAAGCTCGCACTCGCGCTCGTCAAGGGCCTTGCGGTGCACGGACACCACCGCCTTCACCTCGGCGCGCACCTGCTGCGCCCGCATCTCCACCTGCTCCACCATCGCCTGCGCACGTTCCAGGCCCAGCTGGACACGCGGAGCACAGGCGAGGTGCGTGTCACGCACAGGCACGCACGCAAGAGTCTAAAGCTGGGCCTCCACGTGAGCGATACGTCGCCCAACAAAATGGCTCTCAAACTCACGCAACTCAATCATCGCCTGCAACAGCTTTGTCCACATATTAGCGACTGGTTGCACAAGGGGTGTGGCCACACAATTGAGCCACACCTCTTACAGCACAGCCCCACCCCTTCTCTGTACAGCGTCACCCCCCACCCACAACAGGATTGTAACAGACAATCATCAAAGTTACTCAGTAGTATGAATGAGCAACACAGATACATTCATACACTCATACACATTCATATAAACACATACATATACTCATTCATACACTCATACAAACACTCACACACTTATTCATACATTTAAAAAGATACTTATACACCCATAATATAGGTTTTTGGTTGTATAAGTTAGACACTTATACACACATTCATGCATCCCGGGACCTGTTAAAATAACAAACGTGCATAAGGTCGTCAAAACTGGATGACCAGCACAACCTCACAACCTGCACAATCAATGTACCGAGGAAATTCGCAGTTAACCCCCCCCACCCCGCGCAGCCTCTCCTTCTGAACCAACGCCCATCGCCATGCCGCCACTTCTGGGCTTGGCGGCGAGCGCCATGAGCCGGACCTCGCCCGCAAGCCGCCGCCGCCACCCTCCATTTCCCAGCAACAGCCACTTGCTGGTCCCCTCCCCCACCCGGGACCGTAAACCCATGGCACTCTCCGTCCCATGGTCCTGGCAGAGATGCATGGCCGAGGTCGCTTGCGGACAACACGCTACATCTCTCTCCCCCAGGTGGCAGAACGCCCCCCCCCCCCCCTCCGTGTTTCAGCGTGCCATGTGATGTGCGCTCCACAACTGCGCATTGTGGGTAGCAAGGAGCATGAATGAGTGGGGAGTGTGAATGAACAGGGGGGTGAGAGGGGAGTTGCAGGAAGAGTGGGCAGCGAATGGGGACATATGTAGAAAGTGCTGAGTGAAGGGGGAGTGAATAAGGAGTGAGTAGGGAGCATGTCGAGAGTGAGGAATGTGTGGGGAGACAGCAGGTTATAGGTAGAATGAATGAGTCGACAGCGAAGTAGTATGTACGGAGCGAGCGGGGAGCAGGTTGAGAATAGGTAACTCACGGGGAGCGTGAGCACGTGTCAGGAGAGGGGGGGAGCGAGTGGGAAGTGAGAGGGGGGAGCGAGTGGGAAGTAGGTCACCTGTATCGCTTGCCGGCCCTGCTGCGCGTCCGTGAGCAGCTGCAGTGCGAGCGATCGCGAGTCGTGTGAAGGTACCGAGAGGTAGATCACCTCGTGACTCGAGTGGCCGTCCCGCGCGCACTCGCGACACAGCGACAGCGCGCACGTCTCGCAGAACAAGCGTCCGGCCTGCACAGCACCACGGGTGCACACACGCACGCAACACACACACACACACACGCACGCACGGACGAACGCACAAATGTTATGAGGCACTCTCGCTTAAGGATGCGCGATTAATACGACATCGTGATCTTTAGGCATGCAGCGACGCATCGATTCAAATCGATTCTTATGCTCACCGTACATGCACCTGAGAGGCAATCCCTTCATCAAATGTACAAATTATCATTTTACATTTAGGCTCATGCATGAGAGCACAACTGTAGACAAGGTACAGAATAAAACGAGAAACAATGATACACGCCATACAAAATATTGAGCAAAGTCAGCTTGGCCAGAGCACGTCATGGCTATAAGGGAAGATGGACGATGGTCAAGGGTAATAAAGGAGTGGCAGCCAAGGAATGGAACGCTTCCGAGAGTTCGTTGACCTAGGAGATGGAGCGATGAAATCGGTGCGCAGGTGCTGGATGTATTGTTGTATCACAAGATCATGAGAAGTGGTGGCTGCTTGGGGAGGCCTTCATCCAGGAGTGATTCAGATCATGGCTGCTGCTGCTGCTGGTGGTGGTGATTATATCATAGTAGTCTTTTATAAAATTGTGACCATGAATAAAAACACTCAGTCACGTCTCAGAGTCCGTCCTTGCTCTAGGAACCTGTTTGGCTCTGTGGCATCAACTTCCCCTCAGTCTCCACAGGCACCCTGCAGGTCTCCATGGTACAGCCCAACCACGCTGTGTTCAACCACCACACTGCAGGTCACACAACTCACTCACTCTTCTACTCACCACAACACTGCAGGTCACACAACTCACTCACTCTTCTACTCACTCACCCACCACACTCGAGGTCACACAACTCACTCACTCACTCTTCTACTCACCACCACACTGCAGGTCACACAACTCACTCACTCTTCGACTCGCTCACCCACCACACTGGAGGACACACAACTCACTCACTCACTCTTCTACTCACTCACCCACCACACTGCAGGTCACACAACTAACTCACTCACTCACTCTTCTACTCACTCACCCACTACACTGGAGGTCACACAACTCACTCACTCTTCGACTCACTCACCCACCACACTGCAGGTCACACAACTCACTCACTCACTCTTCGACTCACTCACCCACCACACTGCAGGTCACACAACTCACTCACTCACTCTTCTACTCACTCACCCACCACACTGCAGGTCACACAACTCACTCACTCACTCTTCGACTCACCCACCACACTGGAGGTCACACAACTCACTCACTCACTCACTCACTCTTCTACTCACTCACCCACCACACTGCAGGTCACACAACTCACTCACTCACTCTTCTACTCACTCACCCACCACACTGCAGGTCACACAACTCACTCACTCACTCTTCGACTCACCCACCACACTGGAGGTCACACAACTCACTCACTCACTCTTCGACTCACTCACCCACCACACTGGAGGTCACACAACTCACTCACTCACTCTTCTACTCACTCACCCACCACACTGCAGGTCACACAACTCACTCACTCACTCACTCTTCTACTCACTCACCCACCACACTGCAGGTCACACAACTCACTCACTCACTCTTCGACTCACCCACCACACTGCAGGTCACACAACTCACTCACTCACTCTTCGACTCACTCACCCACCACACTGCAGGTCACACAACTCACTCACTCACTCACTCTTCTACTCACTCACCCACCACACTGCAGGTCACACAACTCACTCACTCACTCTTCGACTCACCCACCACACTGCAGGTCACACAACTCACTCACTCACTCTTCTACTCACTCACCCACCACACTGCAGGTCACACAACTCACTCACTCTTCTACTCACTCACCCACCACACTGTAGGTCCCAACTGACTCACTCACTCTTCGACTCACTCACCCACCACACTGCAGGTCACACAACTCACTCACTCACTCTTCTACTCACTCACCCACCACACTGCAGGTCACACAACTCACTCACTCACTCTTCTACTCACTCACCCACCACACTGCAGGTCACACAACTCACTCACTCACTCACTCTTCTACTCACTCACCCACCACACTGCAGGTCACACAACTCACTCACTCTTCTACTCACTCACCCACCACACTGTAGGTCCCAACTGACTCACTCACTCACCACACTGGAGGTCACACAACTCACTCACTCACTCTTCTACTCACTCACCCACCACACTGGAGGTCACACAACTCACTCTCTCACTCTTCTACTCACTCACCACACTGGAGGTCACTTATCCCTTTGCTTCTTCCCTCACGCTGTTGCACTTTGGACTTCTCCCTCTCATCTTATCTTTTCCCATGCTCTTGTCACTTTTCCTCAGGTAAAGAAAAGCATGAGTTTTTACCTATTACGACGTTGATGCTGTTGTTTGTTGCTGGTCACTTGGCGTTTTGGGCCTTTGCATTCGGCAACCTTATTGGGTGTCCTTGTGTTGTGTCACGAGGCGACCAACACGAAGCAACGCGCGAGGCCGAACTCGTCACGGAGGAGCCGGGCGAGTTCCACGCGGCCGCAATCGGGGGGGGGGGCGCTACGGCGTGATAGTTGTTGCTGCGCTTATATTTGTGTGAAATGTTCAAAAATATAAAAACACAACAACAAATATCGTCCCATACGCGGCGGTGCAGGAGCCACGCGGGACCCACACCAAAGCCCCCCCCCGCGCCGCTCACTGGAGCGTGGAAGCTATCCCGGGTCACTCGCCAGAAACAAAGCGAGGAGAGTCAGAGGCCAGAGGGGGGGGGGCTCCCCCCCTCAGCCCCCCTCCCCTCAGACCCCCTCCCCTCACTCAGCCCCCCTCCCCTCACTCAGCCCCCCTCCCCTCAGCGCCCCACCCCTCAGCCCCCCTCCCCTCACTCATCCCCCCTCCCCTCAGCCCCCTCCCCTCACTCAGCCCCCCTCCCCTCAGCGCCCCTCCCCTCACTCAGCCCCCCTCCCCTCAGCCCCCCTCCCCTCACTCAGCCCCCCTCCCCTCAGCGCCCCACCCCTCAGCCCCCCTCCCCTCACTCAGCCCCCCTCCCCTCAGCCCCCCTCCCCTCACTCAGCCCCCCTCCCCTCACTCAGCCCCCCTCCCCTCAGCCCCCCTCCCCTCACTCAGCCCCCCTCCCCTCACTCAGCCCCCCTCCCCTCAGCGCCCCACCCCCGGCCCGCGGACGCAGTTCGATCGCTCCAAGGGAGGCGGCGTGAATCGGAAGCAACGGAAAATCTCTCCCCGGTCGCCGTGGCAACGGTCGCCCCTGCCTCGCCCCTCGCGCACGCAGGGGGCACTCATCTCACCACACGCGCAGTGCACACGGCACTCATCTCACCACACGCAGTGCACACGGCACTCATCTCACCACACGCAGTGCACACGGCACTCATCTCACCACACGCAGTGCACACGGCACTCATCTCACCACACGCAGTGCACAACGGCACTCATCTCATCACACGCAGTGCACACGGCACTCATCTCACCACACGCAGTGCACACGGCACTCATCTCACCACACGCAGTGCACACGGCACTCATCTCACCACACACACAGTGCACACGGCACTCAGCTAACCACACACACACAGTGCACACGGCACTCATCTCACCACACGCAGTGCACACGCCACTCATCTCTCCACACACACAGTGCACACGGCACTCATCTCACCACACAGTGCACACGGCACTCATCTCACCACACACACAGTGCACACGGCACTCAGCTCACCACACACACACAGTGCACACGGCACTCATCTCACCACACACACACAGTGCACACGGCACTCAGCTCACCACACACACACAGTGCACACGGCACTCATCTCACCACACACACAGTGCACACGGCACTCAGCTCACCACACACACAGTGCACACGGCACTCATCTCACCACACACACAGTGCACACGGCACTCAGCTCACCACACACACACAGTGCACACGGCACTCAGCTCACCACACACACACAGTGCACACGGCACTCAGCTCACCACACTCTGCTTATACGAAGCTCGCCCCACTCACCATCACATTTACAACCAATCACAATTGGCTAGGAATGTTTGCTCCCCTGCTCACCATCACATGCACCAACAACAGACAAAGATCCCCCCCAATGGCCCAGACGTTCGGTGCAGGTGCTGTTAGCGAGCACACCCCCGACTCATCGCACCCCATGCACCCCGCGAGGCGACCTGCTTCCACCGAGGGCGCAGCCGCCTGCAGAGACAGGAAGCGCTGCACGCTTCCAATGTAACTGGCGCAGGGGCAGCGTGGAAGGAGAACAGGCAAAGGGGCAGCGGCCGGGGGTGGTAGGAGGGGCCTATCAAAAGACGTATCGGCAAACTAATATAATCAAGAGTTTGGGGCAACCGACTATCGCGCTCATACACTCATTCAATCATACAAACACTCATACACACATTCATACAAACACTCATTCATACAAACACTCACACACGCATTCATACAAACACTCACACACGCATTCATACAAACACTCACACACGCACTCATACAAACACTCACACACACTCATACAAACACTCACACACACTCATACAAACACTCACACACGCATTCATACAAACACTCACACACGCACTCATACAAACACTCACACACGCATTCATACAAACACTCATACACGCATTCATACATACACGCACTCATACACATTTAAAACAAACCTATACACATGCTCTGAATGTGGCTGCGTGGCCATCGCTCAGTAGTCAGCAGAGATCTCATGCACGCTACGGGAAGACACCGTTTTCGATGGAATAAACGCCGCCGTGTCTTTCCTGAAAGGGGGATGTTTACGAATGTTCATGCATGCCACATTTGTATATTTTTAACACTGACTGCATGGGTCCAAAACGTCAAACAGCCAGCAACAAACAGCATCATCACAGTCGTAATCGATAACGAGTTAACGTTTCTGTAGGTGAGCAGGGCGATGAGAGCCTGGGAAAAGA